AACTTTTACGTATTAGTGGATTCCTGATCGTAGATGATGATGATGATTCATTATAAATCGAAACATGTTGGGTAACTAAGTGCTAAAGTGGTGGAAGCATTATATGTCACATTGTACTGAAATGAACTTAATTGTAAACATGGGAACTTGAAAGAAAGCAAGATATTAAATCTCACTGAATATTACCATAAAGCCATCAAGCGTTATATTCCTAATGTTCAACAAATGAAGACTGCAGTATATGCTACTATGTACCACTCCATGTCTAATGACCAAAATCCTCAACATCGTACTTGCCCAGGTGGTGACAGCTGGTGTTTTTATAATAGAGCTGTTGCTAAAAGACTGCAGTATATGCTACTATGTACCACTCCATGTCTGATGACCAAAATCCTCAACATCATACTTGCCCATGTGGTGAAACCTGGTGTTTTTATAATAGAGCTGTTGCTAAAGGAGAGCCAGTTCCTTTGCACAACTCTACTATGAAAACTCCACTAATGTTGAAGTGGTGAAGAAACTGATTCCATTATACATCAGACTGGCTAATGAGGAATTCCTGAAAAAGTGCCTACCTGGGAAGACTCAAAGTGCCAATGAGGTATTACATACTCTTATTTGGACTAAATGTTCAAAAGACACATTTATTTCTAAGAAATAAAGAAATTAGTCATTGGGGTCACTAATGCAGTGAGTGAGTTCAGTATGGGCTGCATAGCAAGCTAGAAACTGAAAGAGGAAACAACAAAATTTAAGTTCAGCAGAGCAGCTGAGAAAATAGGCAGAGGAAGGTATGACCGTCGCCTCAAGCGGAGCACACATTGCAGTCAACCGGGCTCAAAATCTGCCAGAAAGAAGCTGAGGTTGTCCAAAGTAGCTGCAGAGGACAAGAAGAAGCTGACATAGGGTCCCAAATATGGATCTGGTCAATTTTATTTGGATCTCAGGTTAGAAATAAAGATATTCTTTAACAAAATTTTAAAATTGATTTTCTCACTTTTCAACATTTTCACAACTTCAAAAGGTTCCAGATGGTGCAATTTTTTTACCAATCTGATAAAATTTTACACAGGCTTCCCATTTGCTTATGAACAAAATGACCATATTGCTTTTCTTCTATTGCACTTCATTGATCTGAAAAATAAAATTAAAAACAAAAGAAAAAAATAATTAAATTTGACTACATTTTTTTCTCAGTAGTTAAGAAAACAATTAAGAATGATATGATAGAAGTTTTTAATTTGTTTAGAATAAGCACAAAAATCCATATTTCATTGCTCAATTTAAAAAATTGCGTCAAGGGGAACATTTTATTTTGCACATTAATATTTCGGAAACCATTGAAGCTAAAAATTTGAAAATTGGTATTGTAGGTCATATTTGCATGCTAAACAACTGGTATAAATTTCAAACAAATCCAGTGAAAACTGTAGACTTCTCAATTTTCACAGATGTACCTTTAGTCAAGTCCAAGTTGGAATATGCCTCGGTAGTTTGGAACTCCATCACTTCGACTGATGCTAATAAACTTGAGCATGTAGTTACTATAGGATTCTGACGATGGTGTATAACACACTGATATATTGGGTTTCTGGACTTTATCCATCGTCCTGGTTTTTAAGATAACAAATAAAAACACGACGTTTCGGAAACTGGATCTGTTTCCGTCCTCAGGTGAAGGAAAAGGGAAACACCTATTCTGTTGGGTCCGTCAGAAAGAGCTAGCCTCAATCACTGTCCAGTGATTGAGGCTAGCTCACCTGAGGACGGAAACAGATCCAGTTTCCGAAACGTCGTGTTTTTATTTGTTATCTTATCTTCTGGATAAAGTCCAGAAACCCAATATATCAAACTTGAGCATATCCACCAGATGTTTGCATCTGTCTGTTCTATCATTTTTTCCCCTTATGTTCCTTATACTTTTATAGATGCCTTAGAGAAATTAAGTCCACAATCTTTACACAAACAGAGACTTCACCTTGATGCAATTTTATTTTTTTGTTCAGATCTAACATGGTTTTAAATCCTGTGTTTCTCTCGTGTTTCTCTCAGCAATCTTAGGGATTTCTCATTATTTGGTGTTTGTCCCTCTACTAAACACTGTCCTTATGCTCCGTGCGCCTATGCTGCCAATGCGGTGGGTAAAGATCTCGACATATTTGCATTCGGGGCCGTTCCGCTCAACCACATTTATACTCATTAACCTAAAATTGTTAATAATATTTGTTCATATTCCTTATGTTCTGTGTTATGTAGTTCTTAGTTACCATGTTCTTGTTACCACTCTTCATCTTCGTTTGTTTGTTTATTTGCTGTTTTAATGTTTTGTTTCCTCCAGTGCTTGACTGTAATTTGTCTTTGATATTGTTGTGTCTGTCCGTAATGTAATTACCTGTATCTACACTGTGCTGTGTCTGTAATCGGCCTTGTAGCTGTTGACTCGGCACATAAATAGTATAGAATTGAAATGAATTATTTGGATGTTGAGTTAGCACACAAATAAGTAAGAATTATTTGAGTTATTGTTATTATTATCTGAAAATCTATACTTTTCATTTCTCAATTAAATATTTATACGTTTCATTTCTCAGTTCTCAATAACAATTAGATTTATGTTATGAAATTATTATTATTGCTATTATTATAATTTGTTTGTTTGTTTACTTGTCTCCATTATTGATTTATGTTAATGAAATTATTATTATTTGTTTGTCTGCTTGTCTGCGTTATTGTTTTCCTCCAGTGCTTGCCTGTAATTTGTCTTTGACTTTATGTAGTGTTTGTCCATAATGTAATTACTTGTATCTACACTGTGCTCTGTCTGTAATTGGCCGTGCAGCTGTTGACTCAGCACATAAATAATAAAGAATTTAACTTGATAATTGAACTGAAATTGAAATTTCTATGTGTGAATATATATGTGTATAGTACTTTCTTGCCACATAAAAGCATAACCACTGGAAATGTACTTATCTTACTTTTCACACTTATTAATAAGTTTAATATTTCATGGAATTATTATTAAAGTGTTGCTATTATACAGATTGCCTTCTTTTGTATTTTGTGTTTTAGTTATTTTTGTGTCCTACTTACTCGTGCTAACTTTGTAATTGGTGTCTGAGCTGTTAAGTTTGCACATATATAAGCAAGAATTGAATTGAATCAAATTATCATTTTTCTTCCGAAATTTTTATACTTTTCATTTCTCAGTTCTCAGTAACATCTTATATTTGTGTTAGTGAAATTATTATTATTACTATAATTGCTTTGTTTGTTTACTTCTCTGCATTAATGTGTTTTCCCTCCATTGCTTGCTTCTGATTTGTCTTTGACTTTATATTATGTTTGTCCATAATGTAATTATGTGTATCTACACTGTACTGTATCTGGAATTGGCCTTGTAGCTGTTGACTCGGTGCATAAAAAGAAAGAACTGAATTATTGTTATTGTTGTTGTTGTTGTTGTTATTATACTGATTACCGTGGGGTATTCAGAATAGAATAAAATTTAACCACTTACAATTTTTATTATTAATAGTTAATTAGATAGCTATTTTGCCATTACTACTTAGTAAAATTCTGACAGTGATCAAGTAAACTACAAGGAAATCGCCCAGGAGGAGTTACCAGTTATTTAAAGGATGCTGAAATATAGATTTTATCAAAATAAGTTTTTTTTTTTTCTGCTTGCCTGAATACATCTCATACCACTCTCTGTTTGCTTCATGAAACTTAATTTTAATTCACCATCTGGGTTTTTACTTTTTCATTATTTTACCACATTTTCAGTGTGTTATGAATTAAAATTTATAAAAGACCTTATCACTGTTAATAACATCTTAACATTACAATTGATCAGATTTTTTGAGCCATATTTTCCTCAGCCCTTAAATAAATGAGTTGAAGGTGCCTTTTTTGGAAGCCTTGAAGAGATCTCCCCCTTTCACACTGAACTGCTCAGCGTCTGCTGAGGCCCAGCCTTTTTCATATACGTATATACACTACTAACAGTTTCTCTTGATTGTGAATGCAACACTTTTCCACTCAGTTTACTTCGTGTAGGTGGTATGTTAAAGGAGATAGAAAAAATGTACAAATATAAATAAACAAAATAGAAAGTCAACGAATAAAAATAAACAATAAAATAAAATATTAATACAGTAAATAGAGACTAATACACTCAAATACGACTCAAAGAGTCAAAACTTTTTAACTTGACTGTACAAGGAAGAATGCTTTTACCTGAACTTGAGATGTCTGCTCGCACTGAAAACAAACGAATGACTAATCACAACACCCCTCAACTTTCACGAATGGACCTGCCCATCCACTGCGCAGCTTTTCCTGGACTGTCACTTCTAAATACCAGAACTATACTCCTTTCATCTTCAGAGCCAACTCAGAAGACCAAATGGGCAACACATCTGTCTTGCACGTTCAAATCCCAGCGGGGAATTTAATATCTCGTCATCTCATATGGCTTTCCTCACTATTCATAGGTAAAATCCAGGATAGTAAAAATAGGCCACAACTATTTCCTCTCCAGACATTTCCACCTTATTTTGTAACACTTTTACATATTAAACACACAACTGAAGGAAAAAGATGATGATAATGATGATAGTATGAGGAAGAAAGAAGAAAACCAGAAACAGATAGGAAGGGAAAGGAAGGAAGATGGAGAATGTAGAAGAAACAGAATAAGAGGAGGAAGGGGATGGAGACAACAAAAAATGAAGAAAGCTCTTGTTTTATGTTGTCTTGATACCTACATTCAGAATACCATCACACCACAAGGATTGACTTCTTCAAATAGATTGAGTCTGAGCCTGTATAATCATTGAACCTCGTTTAATTCTCTTAGTCAGTCTGTTGTGCTCTGCTACCATAATTTTGAAACATATAAATTTTGTATTCATCCCTTTCATCATGCTACGTGTATGTATTTCACTCATTTGATATAATAACTGCATTTTACTTTCATGCACCTGTTGTTTCAGGCTATGACCTTATTGAATGGCTGATGGAGCGCCTCAACATAGAAGAATCAGGTAACAAATATTATCCTCTTAACTTTTTCAGTTATTTCACAGTATTTGATTACTGTTATAATATTTGGTCAGAATACAAGTTTAATATCAGTTGGTATGGCGATGGGCTACAGGGTGGATGGCCAAAGTTTTGAATCCTGACAGGGCAAGAATTTTTCTCTTCTCCACAGTGTCCAGACAGGAACTTGGGTCCATTCAGCCTCTTATCCAATGGGTACCAGGGGCTCTCTAACCAAGTAAAGCAGCCAGGGCTTGAAGTTGATGACTAATTTCCATGTAATGCCAAGGCTAAAAATGAATGGAGCTGTGACTTCATGTCCCCATATGTCTTCATGATGTGGTGCTTCATTAATTACACACCTTTACTTCATAAGTTTAATATCAAAATATTTTCATGTTTTACCCCTTCCAGTGGCACAAATTTGGAAATTAAACTAAAAAATATCTGTCAGCATAATGACAGTCACTTCAAAACTAAAATAGAGTCAACTCTTGATATGTCATGTACATTAAACATACCTCACACAATACAAAAATCTTTAAGAAGATTATTTGCATTGTGTTCCTGCCTCTACATTTCAAATCTAATACTGCAATGGATAATTTTGAAACCTCAGTATTCACATGGCTCTTACCCCCAGTAAATATTGGGTTAAGTAGCATGTGATTTAAGCAGTCCCTTGAACAAACTAAGGACAAATTTTCAGCTCTTTTTCTTTACAACTGAATATGTGCTGTATCTCATTATAGTCAAACTGTTAATTTGAAGCTGTCCATGGTTTCAAAAAGGTCTGTGACATATTACAAGGTAGTTCACTTTGCTGCACACGTGGTTAGAGAACCTTCTGACAGTGGTTCTTTTCCACATGAGAAAGTCATTGATTTTTTTACCACTGATTTATGGGATTGCCTTATCAGCATCTCTGCAGGCACATTACTTGTCTGCAGTCATACTTCATGCAATGAAACAACAGAATAAAATTTACAACTCTGAAAATTTCAGACAACACTATTATTTTGAATTTCTGAGTATGAACTGAAAATTCTCCAATCAAGGAATGTAGCTGCTGCAAATAAACTGAAGTACCATTAATATTAAGATGCATCTACTCTGATTTGTATTAACTTTTATTACAAATTCTTGGACTTTCATCATCTGTTCCTAGGAACTGAAGATATTACCAAAAAAGTGAGAAACATAATCATGCCATGAATCATTTTACACACACTTCCGTCTTTAATGCAACTTTGTTTACAATTCGACATTAATTTAAAATAACATTAAAATTACAATTAAACTGCTACATGTATTGGCCTTACTTGGCCATCCTCAGGCAACCATTTGCTTGTTGAAACAGATATACTGCATTAGTTCTTATGTTAAAATATTCCATTGTTATTGCATTTTCATCATTCATATTGTAATACATTTGCTTCAGAATATAACTCTTTATCTTACCGTTTACTATTCTCTTCTTGCAGCATCTGTGTTTTCTGTGTTGTTTTATTAAGCCCCATGAATTACTGTGTGTTGTTATCGTTGTTGTTTTTATGTGCCCCGTTACTATTCCTACTAGTCACTTTGGTACAAAAGTGGCAAGCACTCAACTAGTGGGAACATACATAATAATGGGGTACATGTGATGTTATATGTTATCTGTCACAGCTTCACATATTCTATGTGCATAGCCTACACATATCTCTGTGCATAGTAACCTGATCTGCTGTATTGCTGAAAATTTTAATATTCAGGGCAGAGGCCATGTAACACACATAAAATAGAAACTGCATGTAACATATTGATGAGGACTCCCAGGAGAGATATAATTTGGGAAACCTAGACATCAGTGGAAGAATAATAAAGAGGAATAAGATATCATCTTATGAAACTGGCTTGGCATATGGCCCAACAGTGCGATTCTGTGAGGGCAGTGATGAACCTTCAGTTTTGATGAGATCATAAAATTTATTATCCAGCCAAAAGACCATCATCTGTTGAAAGAAAGCTGAAACTTGGAAAGTTAGTTTTAAATCGCTCACAGGAACCGTGAAAGAATTCATAACAATATACAATAGCATGTACTTGAAATTTTGCACATCTGTGTTGTGACATACATGTAACTGTAGTATTGTGTGTTATAGTTGAGGCTGTCCACATAGGTAGCCAACTCTGCCAGTATGGGTACTTTTTTCCTGTCAGTGATTCAAAAAATCTGGTCGTCAAAGATGACAGTTCACTTTATCGCTTCCAGGTAAGTCCAAACATCATTTGATATTCTTTAGGAAAACATAACCTTAGTTTTACTGTGGTTAATACTAAGTGTTCAGAAACATATTGGGGCCTAAGGAGGATTTAAGAAGCAGAAATGTAGGATATTACATAATTAGACAATTTTCTAGTTTATACATGTTACTTAGTAGATCCTGAAGGGTTCTGATGATGATGTATATTATTCAGAATTATTTGGATTTTGGACTTTATCCATATCTGTTACTGTAAAACTAGAAAACACAAGATTTCGGAAACTGGATCTGTTTCTGTAGGTGAGGGTGGAGACATCTACTGTGTTGGGTCTCTTAGAAAGAGCTAACCTCAATAATTGGACAACCTACTCGTAAGTCCCTATAACTACAGATATAAATACCTGAGACCAGGCTTTGTCAAAGGAAGATAACAGAAAAAATGTACAGTGTGGTAAAGAATGCACAGACCTGAAACTATTCAGTTCCTAAAATCCTTGCTTCATCATAGCCTACCAAATGATATGACTGCCTTCATAGGCATGTTGGGCTAATTCTGACTTTTCTGGAAGACCCTCTTGGAAATTGTACATATGTTCAATTAGCCCAGCTACCTTACATAATAATCTTCTCCACATTCTGGTGTAGGCATCTGGACATATAATTGTTTTCCAAATTATTTCCAGAGCAGACTTCTTAGAAGCTCATAATAAAATTTCTGTGTTTTGTTTTTAGTATTCAGTATCTAGATCAGAAGTTAACAATTTCCATTAATTTTTAATTACCCAAAATTATCTTTGACTTTCATAAGAAATGTTAAAGAGTAATGGCAGTAAAAATGTCCTCGTTTTAAATAATTTTGAACAGAAAATGCATTACACAAATATTTGTGTGTATTTTCATGTGTAGTTCAATGAAACACATTTTGATTGACCTGCCCAGTTTGGTGAGTATATAAAAAAATCTACCATCAATTAAGTGAATTTTTAAGGAAAAGTTTTCAGTATTGAGACCATGTAGAGCTGGATGGTGTGATGACAGGTGAGGCATTAGATGGAAACAGCCAAGGCTTAAATGAAGTATTATCCAGCACTTGCATGGAAGGATTGAGGGAACCCATGCAAAACTCAGGCTAGCTGCTATCTTGGCCAAGATTTGAACCAAGCACCTCCAAAATGGAAGTATAGAGCATTACTACTAGACTAACTACTTTGGTCCTATTAGGTAATGAATATAGAGTATTTATCTGCAGTTGACCTATTGAACAGAGTCTGCATTAATAATGCCCAACATATCACCCACACAGGGAGTAACTTTGAAACAGGAATGTTTAACACAATTTTGTAAGAAGCTGACCTGCAACTTCCTCCTCTCTTTCATTGGCCATTCTTGCTAGGCATGTTTTACAGCTCTTTCTGTACCTTACTACTTCCTGCATTAACATTATTAATGTTACTTAAATGCCGGAACCGAATGCCATGGAACTTAATATGTATATCATGCCACCCGAGCCCATTTCAATGGTGAATTTCACAGATTCCCCCTATCACCAATACCAACATTACAGCCTTTAAAATTTCTGACAAAAAACCATAATATTGCTTGAAGGCCTGTACCCATCTTCGTGAAACTTGGTATGTATATGTCATGCCACCTGAGACCATCTAAATGGCATACATCATAAATCCCTCTCATCAATAATGTCAGCACCATTGCCTATCGAATTGTTGAGGTAATGGGATTACCCATAATATTACTCAAATGCCTGAACCGATCGTCATGGCAATTGGTATGTATATATGCCATCTGAGGCCACCTGAACGGCTTACATAAGAAATCCCTCTCAACAATAATACCAAAGCTACAGCCTCTCAAATTCAGTTAAAACCCTTGATATTATTTGAATTCCTGAACCAATCGTCATGAAGCTCTGTATGCATATATCATAACATCGGAGGTCATCTCAATGGCATATTATCATAATTCCTTTCCATTAGTAATACCAACACTGAAGCCTCTCAGATGCTCCAGGTAATTACCTTAACATCACCTGAAGATCCGAGCCAATCTTCATGAAAGTTGGTATGTATATCATACCACTTGAGGCCATCTCAACACATTCTCTCATCAAAGAGGAGGATGTTACACGAGGACTATGATGGTATGGGTTCAGTTGTAAAAAGAAAGCTGCCATAAGCATCAAGGCGCTGATTGGCGATAAACTGCCAGTAAAGTAGCCGACTCTGATTCTGAAGCCAATTTGTTGGCATCATGAGATAGTTTCAAGCAAGCCGCCATCTAGTGAGGATGTGATTATAGAAGCAGAGTTGTTGGGAGCCTATACCTAGCAATGCCTGGAGAAGAATTAGAAGACTTTTTGTGTGCTGCAGTACAGTTATTTGTGGACTGCATAGATTAGGCTTCCCATAATATTTTTTTTCATTAAATGGGACATTTGATAAAGAATAAAAATTAATAAAGATAAAAATCGATAATACATTGTATATTATATATATATACACACACGAGTATATTACAGGGAAGACCAAGGCGTAGGTGGGTTGACAATATTAGAATAGATCTTAGAGAGATAGGATGGGATGGTATGGATTGGATAGATCAGGCTCAGGATAGTAGGGACCAGTGGAGGGCTCTTGTGAACACGGTAATGAACCTTCAGGTTCCATAAAATGCTGGGAATACATTATGTATTAAACAGTGAGGAATTTAAACACGCAAAAATTATCTCAAATGCTGCTTCCTGTACTGCTATTGATAACTGCTTTTCCATTTCACTAATATTCTTTTGACTTACATAGTTATGCTGTTATTGGGAGCTTTATTTTGAACAGCCAGTTTTTTTATCTTCATGTGACTAGCGACTGTTCATGTTCTTATTCATTCATTCTTTATTTTTCCATATGTATCCATACAGGTTAACAAACCAGGATGTGTAAATAGTCCTTTTGAATACAGATACATCAACATGCATATACAAAATTGCACGAGTCAATAAAACAAAGACAGTTACATCGATCTATAAATATAGATAATATTATAGGCAAGATTTCCAAAGCTGCAAATCTATTTGAAAATTTAACCTAGAACTCTTCTCTGATTTCCATATTTTCCATGTTTTTGAAGTGAAAGCACATAACAGAATTTTAATGTAAGGTATGGGAAGGTGACTGAGGAGAAAAATGGAGTGTATTGACAGACACAACTTCTCCGTAGTGTATTCTTTATGTTTGAGCCAGTAATACACCAGTAACGTTATTTTCTCAAGATTAATCAGACACTTAGCAAAACTGAGAACACTTTCACTTGTCAGATCATACCCTTGAAGACATTGAAGTCCTATGCTTATGAACAAGGTTGTAACAAAATATAATTATTATTTTTCAGACCCCTTACTATTGGCCATGGCAACATCGTAGTCCTGACAACATTGAATATGCTATCTATTTGGTAAAGCGGACACTTCGCAACAAACAGCGCCATGGCCTGGAGGAGTATGAAATGGTGAGTTTGAAGATTGCTGTCTCCTGGGATATTATGTCATAAAATCGGTAGATTATTACCGTTTTGCTGCCTCCACCTCCAAGGTAGAAGTACGGCATTAGGCTTATAGGGCATCACATCCAAGCAGAGCGTAAGCCACAGCTGTGATAACCTCAGTCCTCATTAGATTTTTGTTGCCCAATATGAAAATTTGTCTCTTTTCACTTCTCATATGAATTACTGTTTTTCCCTGACAAGATATTTATATACACAGTTGTAATTGTTTTTACAAGATATTCACCTCTCTGGATGGGCTCTAGTTTGATTTTGTAGATAAGAGCAGAAACCAAATTATGAACTAAATAACTACTAAGTAATTAATAGCATATATGTGCTAGTAACTTAACACTTTGAGGACTGGTCACATGATATGCTTTTGGCTTTTAAATGTGGCAGACCAGTCGTGCAATATCATGATTTTAGGACACGTTAGGTTGTAACACACTATACCTTGCTCTGGCACCACCCAAATTGCACGCAACTGCGAAATAAAACTCTGGAATGTTTGCTTACTTGTCAGTAACTTGATCTCGCTGTTTTCTTAACCCACTGTAAAGGAAAATGCTTTGCTGCTCTTCAAGCTATATGTATCAGCCAGTAGTTAGTGGTGGGGTATGGACAAGGACAAATTCTTCTCCAATGAGCCAGCTGACCTGCCTTATAAGACGCGTAGTCATTGTGATTCAGAGAGCGGCAGTGACGGAAGAACAAAGAATTATGGCCACAGACAGTAAAAGTGACAGTAGCTCCAACGATAATGGGGGTAATAACATTGCGGGGACAGTAAAAAATCTAAAAAAATCACAAAAATCTAAACCCTGATTCGAAATTGAAATACAAAGCATTTCTGATGAATGTGGCAAAGGCCTGGGATACAGACCAGATAGTGGCGGCAGAACCAGGGTCAGACACAAACTTAGTGCAACCGGGCCCATCAACTCCCACCCCACGCAGGCCTCATGTGGACCCTCCAGGGCGACTCTCGGGTGATATGCGGAAACATAGCCTCGTGAAAATTGTGAAGAGTGAACATTCCTAGGGGAAGCATCCTTCTAGGCACTGCTGTGTTTGCACAGTTCACAAAAAAAGGAATATGTTTACATTGCAAGCTCTGTGTAATGCCACTTCACAAAGGGGAATGTTTCCAGAAATATCACACTCTCAAGCACTTCTAGGAGCATTAGTAAGTGTTCTCCAAAAATTTTAGTTCATAAAATTAATTAGGGAGATATTATATTAATTTTTAAAGTGAACAGTGCACATGTTAGGATAGTAGGTTTAATAATCCCGGTCCCCAGTGTGATATAAATATTTAAATTGCCGGTCCACAAAGTGTTAAGAATCCAGACAAGCTCTGAAAGTGACCATGAATTAGACAGTTCCTCTCCATTTAGTGCTAGGGTTAAGAATGCATTCACTTTACTTCTACATTCCATATATATATCATTGTAGTATGATGCTTAGACACGGGAGCACATTTATTTTTTGCCCTTTTGTGTTTTAGGAAGCGCTTGCCAGTTTGAAGAAGAACTTGCAGAACAAATGGGACTTTATATCCATGCAGGCAGAGGAACAGGTATATGTTATGGCTGCATATATACTGTTACATGTACACCCATTGCTAGGCAAAGGGTTGGTAAACAAGTTCCCTCAGAGACAGATTCTTGTGAAAAGTCCGTTGCTAGATTATGCGACAATAGATGAGGCTGTTCTTTCTATGTGGCCTGCACCACGCAACAGTAGAATCACAGGGTTATGCGACCCATTTCTAAGCAATGGCTCAGTAAACACATTTCTGCTTAAGCGGTGACATCATCAACAATAGAGACAGTGTTTTCTGTGGTGTCTGTGCAGAATGCAGTAACTGAAGTAGCTCAGGGGCAGTTACGAGTCAGTCGTAAGCTGGATGAGTAAGTCCAGAAGAAAGCAGTCTTCTGGGATTTGGCACCGTGTATATGCGGTGTTAACCGACGTTTCGGAGGAAGGTATCGCCTCCATCTTCAGGGTAGAAAAATAATTCTTATATTTTTTCTTCTACCCTGAAGATGGAGGCGATACGTTCCTCCGAAACGTCGGTTAACACCACATATACACGGTGCCAAATCCCAGAAGACTGCTTTCTTCATAGTCACCGCCGTGAAAGCCTCAAATCTTACAAGTCCAGAAGAATTTTAGTTCCGAAGGTTCCAGAGTGATTGAAGATGAAACAAGAAGAAGACTTCATAGTGATAGTTTCTGTGCTGGGATCTGATTCTGACAGAGTAGTAGTGGAAACAGAATTGTAGTGCATGTGCAGTGCTGAACTGGAAATTGTGCAAATCAGCGATAGCGTTATATTGATTGTAATTAAGAGAGACAGTGTAACCGAAGTGTTAATAAATCCACTCATCCAAGATAGGACTCGTTATTTTCGTCATGCGTACCAACCTACACATGACAGTATTTTCAAACAAAGAGCACTATCTTGTGAGGTGTAACATTATGTAGTCTGGTAGAAATTTACCCTCATTTTTTAAGAATATATTGCCCTTATATTCAGGACCAAATTGACTTCGTCCCTGAAGAAGAGATAGCATTCTACACTGACACTTCCCTAAGGACCTCAGATCTCACATTATCAGATCACTTTCAGGCATTTCTTCATCCTCCTACCCACCATGAATAGGCTCACACATAAAATCTTTGACAATTTTTTGACACCAAAGTCTGTCCTTGACTTTTTTCACCACTATATAATATTTTTAATATTTTTACTCAAGGTTTATAAATATCCTTTTTCTTTAAAAGGCCCAAGCGTTTGGTCTGTATCACTTTGTCAAAGCCTCTCTCATAACTAAAGAAATCTATGTATGTTTTAGAATGAAGCTTTAGTTGTTTTTGGAGTATAGATAAAAATTCAACGTAATATATAATTTAAGATTTTCTTATTTCAGTTATTTGGAGCTACATCATCTCAGATGGCAATAGACAGTATAGATATTTTCTTCACCTTATTAAAGTAAAGGAAGTTAGAAGGAAGTACTGTCAGTGTGACTGCAAAGAGAACTAATTTGGTGCACAGTGTTGGTTGTTGTCTCAACAGTTTAAGTAATCTCATTATTTCTATTTCTGCATAACTAGGATTATTATGGATTGATATTGTGATAGCATCAATACATAAATTAAATTAATCAAGATTGTCATCAACAAGACTGAAGTAAAATATGAAACTCAGCTCTTTAACAGAAATGCTGAAACTTGTCAAGTCTCAGAAAACCTTTTGTGTTTGCTATAGACAAGGAAAGAGAAAGTGAATGAAACAGAGATTAGAAAGTGAGAGACGATGCTGGGTGCAAGAACAGTCTCTCTCTCTCTCTGCGCACGCGTGCACAAGTAATTTGATGGGCGAATGTGAGTGTACACATGCAAACACATGTGCATGTGTGTAAGTATATGAGACACATTTACATACTTATCACCTATTTAATAACAAACCCCATCAGAACCTAAAGATATTATTTACTGTGCATCTACTTGTACTTGTACATGTGTGTGTTGGGTCTGGACTTAAGATTATTGCTGTTTCTGAGTTCTTGGAGTTATAACATTGAAAACTATTATGTCTTATTTTATTTGTAATTGAAAACTTGTACTATCCCACTAATTTGTCACACAACTACATTGATAATATTTAAATTGTATTTTGCGACACTTTTAATGTCATCATCACTGCAATGATAAAATTTCTGATAGGTCCGCTTAGCAAAAGAGCGCAAGAAGGGTGACAAAATCGTGAGTGACAGCCAGGAGCGAGCATACTGGCGAGTGTATCGGCCCCCTCCAGGGTACCTGAGTGTTCTAGAACCAGTCCCAGTCCCCGACAGAAGCAAAGGTGGATGTCGTGCTAAGAAAAAGATGCCTGAAGATCTTAAACGTGAGGTAAAATGAAACCATACTGTTGTATGGTACACCAATGATAGGATTTTGGAACTGAACCTCATTTGTTATATAGCATATGTCTTTAAAGTTTTGTATTATGTGTGTATATTACATTCAAAATGAGATATTTAATAAAAGTATAAGAGCATGCAGCTATAATTTGAAGAATTTCTCTTCAAAGTCTTAATGCATTCATGTTAAAGAAATGTGTTTCATGCTGTTTGTCTGGAAGTAATTACAATGCAGATGTATGACATGTACGAGTATGTTGGCATATGTGTGGCCTGTTGATTACCTATGCAGGCCATTTCCACCTGTTGTAGTGATTATTTTCGTGAGTATACTTTTGCATACATTTTGTATTTTCATTCAGATGACTAAACTGAATTTATTTTATTAATGCCGTTTAATGGTGACAGATTCGTATGTCTGAAATGTGGACGCCTGTCTATCTCAGTGCTGACCAGAATGGATTCCATTTAAGTCATGAGGCAGACTTATATTCTTGACATAAGCTGTTTTTTCTGAAATTTAAATGGGGAAAGTTCTTTGTGGAAATGTTCAGCAAATTTTGATTTCATAGACTTCAGCATGTGCAGGGTTTGTCCGGAAAGTAATGCAATTTGTTTTCTCCCGCCGCTCCTCCTGGTCGCAGCGTGTTCGGGCCAGTTGGGAAAGGTGGGGGGGATTCTTAGCTTCACAACGCTTCCAAGCTCAGTCTGCTCTGAGCTCTGGAAGCATAAGGATTGCTGTTTCCATGAACCTCCTGTTAGTGCCTGTGTCACGACACGCAATGGAGAAAACTATCAAACATCATTACGCGATCAAGTTCTGTGGTAAACTGAACAAAAGCCTCGCCAACACCCACCAAATGATTCAGGAAGCCTACGGGGACTCTGCTGTCTCCTATTCTCTCAAGTCTCCAGGTGGTTGAAGTTGTTTAAAAATGGTGGAGGATGACCCGCCTCTGGACAACCGTCAACCAGCAAACGTGACAAAAATGTGTTCCTGATTTTTTAAATACCAATCATCAAATGAGTGTTCAGATGATAGCAGAGACTCTCAGTATTCCGAAAACCACTGTGCACGACATCGTGACCGACAATTTGCACATGAGTGTTTGGAAGATAGCAGAGACTCTCAGTATTCCGAAAACCACTGTGCACGACATCGTTACCGACAATTTGCACATGAGGAAAGTGTGTGCTAAGTTGGTCCTCAAATTGTTGCCTGACAACCACAAGAACAACTGACTGACGATCACGAGTGATCACAGACTTCTTTTTGTTCCCAAGGAACAAGATCGCCCTGAAAGGAACCCGTTTTGGAACCATTGAAGTGATACAAACCGCCATGACAAAGGCTCTAAACGAGGTCCCCATCAACGCCTTTCAGGATGCATACCGTGCATGGAAAAGTCGCTGGCAAAAGTGTGTGGATGCCCAAGGGGATTTAAACGTTTGTAACGTTATCTTGAATAATTTTTTTTACGAACTTAATTGCATTACTTTCCGGACAAACCTTGTATGTGAATTAATGTAAATACAATATTTTCCTTACTCATCATCAAGAACATGTTAATATCAGAAAATATCAAATTTGTCTGAACAGCTTTACTTTCTATATAAGAAATCATAATTCTTAGGCAGACAGGTAATGAATATTATGTAATGTACATGACTTTAAGGTCTAACAAATTATAGTACATAACTCATATCACTATATGAAAATGTGAATGAAAACTGCATGAAAATGTGGTCTGTTACAACATAAATACATATGAGGGATATCCAATAAGTCACCTCTGGTGAGCTATCAACAAAACAAGCAATGAGAAAAAAAATATTATATGCAAAAAATACGCACATACTTAAGCTACCTGTCAACATAGTCGCTGCCAGAATTGAGGCACTTGTATCAGGGAATAAGTTTTAGTATGCCTGTGTAAAAAAGTCTGCTGCCTGTGAGCTCATCAACGTTTTGACATGTTCTTCCAGCTCTTGTTACTGTTGAAATGATGTGCTCTCAACCAACCAGCTCTGCAGATATGTAAATAGATGGTAGTGACTTGGAGCAATATCAAGGCTGTAAGATGGGTGGTCAAACACCTTTCAGTTTAAAAGTTTCATCTGTTCTCAAATATGTGCAGCTGTATTTGGACCCCATTATCATGGAGGAACCCTGCACCAAATGTCAGCATTCCACATCTTTTTGTTCTGAATGGCCATACGCAGTTTTTTAGTGTTTTGTAACCTACTTATGAAGTTATTATAGTCTCTTGTTACATGAATTCCACCATCAGCAATCATTTCTTGTGTCAGAAAACAGTTGCCTCCTGACAGACAATGTTTGTTTAAAATTTTCTGGCTTGTTACTGAATGTGTGTGCATCCACTGCTTTGATTCTTCTTTGGTTTCAACATTCACAAATGGAACCCAGGTTTCTTGTGGGATGTGATTGAGAAATTAATCACCATCTTTGTGGTATTGCTCTGAAAATGTCGATGCTGATGTCACACTCTGCATTTAGTGCACATCGTTCATTTAGTGCACATCCTTGAGCGTTTTCAGAACCCATGTTGTTCAAGACTTATAATGGCCTAGCCTAACTACAGTTATCTCATTTTTTTTATTGCTAGTGGCGTGGGACTAAGTCCCTTGTACTGTGGCCACTTCTGGCCTGTTGTACCAGCCCCAGATGATAGGTGAGGGTGATTGTGGAGCAATTGGTGGAATGAAGATTGGCAGGGGAAACCGAAGTACTCGGAGGAAACCTACCCCAGCCCCACCTTGTCCACCACAAATCCCACTTGATCAGACCCGGGATTGAACCTGGGCTGCCGTGTTGGGAAGCCAGCGACTAACCGCTTGAGCTATGGCATGGCCCTTACGATAGTCTCATACAGAACAGCGAGTGAAATGTATGGAAATTCATATGAAAGTTCTGAAATTGTGAAGAGCCCTCTTTCATATTTTTAACACTTTGAACAAGATCATCAGTCACTACAGATATCCGACCACTTGCTCTTCATCGTGAACATTTGTTCACCCATCTTTGAACATTCTACACCATTGTGTAAGATCTGAGGTCTTCATTTACACCATTGTCTTACAGTTCCTTCACTCGTTATATTTTAGCCGTGACCCGCCCATAAATCATGATTGATTTCCACAGTACTCATGTTTTAGTGTGAAGAAAGCGGATAACAGCATGAATTTGACACTGGTGAATTATCAACAGCAGGACACACTACAACTCACTCTGTAAAGACAAGTACAAACACTAGGGGACCAGCAGTTAAGTGATGGTTTACAAGGCAATGAAGCAAGTGACCCTACCTCACATGCGCAAGCTCCTCCCTGCTCCGACATTATTTGCCTAAAATAAACGAAGGTTACTTTCCAAATAGCCCTTGTACTTTACGTCATGACACTGTTAAATTTGTGTCTTAAAAATAGCACAACTTTAAAGCTTTGCCACATTAAACACAATGGATTGTAATAAACTGATGTCCCACTAAGCCCATATTTACTCTAGGTAACAATGTACAATTTGAAAGATTTAAATACTATTTCAGTTAATTTACATGTTTTACTATAAACCTGGATTTAATCATGTTGAATCACACTTGGGGCCACAACAATTACAATTTCAGAGAATCATTAAATAAGAAGAGATGTTTTAGAGGATTTTGCATATGGAAAATGATCACTTATGTCAGTGCTAAATGTGGCCTCAACCAAAAACAAGGTACCAAGAGACTGTTAGGAGTATATTCCAAGAGGATGCATGATTTATCATCTACAGAAGAGGATGTAAAAATTTTTATGCAGGTGGATTGGATTTATTAAGCTCAACCCTTGAATCTGATGATGATGTTAGGTATCATGATTTAATTTATATACTTACTGTTATATTTAAACATAGGGCCATCTTCAGGCAACACATCTCATAAAGTATTCTACTGCACTGTGTAATGTGTACTTGGTCAAATAGTACTCATTAAGGCATGCCATTGTCATTATTAATTTCTGTGAATTCTGATGTTGTAGAATTACTTTATAGGATTATTTTCTTCCTATCTTATATATTGTGGCTGTTTTCATGTCCTGTTGGGTGTGCCGCTCCCTTAATTGTGTGTATCTAACGTTGCTTTGTGTTCCTTGTGTCCACATATTGGATCAGGTGGACACATACAAATTTGAAAAGATTTTCATTCTTCTGGAAACTTTCACCATAATGTGCCGGCCTGAAACTCTCTTATTCAATTATCGGTTTCAAAACAGTAATTGCTATCCTTAACTGCAGCTGGTGATTTCTAAAAATAAAATTCTTAATGATCCCATACTGAGAAATCTATATGATATACATGAAAACCTCACATGCTTACTGCACATATTCCATATGCCATCATTCAGAATATTTCTGAAAATCTTAAAACACCAACTTCAAGCATGCCTTCAACATAATGGACATCATCTTGAACATCAATTATGTATGTTATTATACTGTATAAGAAAGATTTATTTAGATAACAAAATATATGGGGCTTCTTTAGGTTTCAATCTGCTGGTATATACTGATTTAGACTGATTTCATCCTTGTGCACCATAACTGCGATTACAGTTTGTGAATCAAGTTTGGTTTACAGGTGGACTTCTTGCGGAGCTGTCTTGTGAGGACCCGTGTTAAGGTATCACAAGCATTAGACAACCTGGTTCAGCATTGTGAAACATATGCAGAGTATGATCCATTCATCTCAGGAGCCCAGCCATCCAACCCATGGATCTCTGAAGACCAGACTTTCTGGGAGATAAATAGTCCATTGTATGTTAGATTCATACAATATTTTGAATATCATTACAAGATGAGGCAAGAAAGTAAATTTATAAGGTACTTGTATATAGTTCAAAATGATCACTGAATCTTTCTTATAAATCCATCCTCAATTCCAAAGCTCGTTATTGTGGAACTGCTGTTGATATTCACTTATAGACTTGCTGGACCTGTCACAGCTTCACCAGATCCCCATTAGCTATTGTTTTTAGGGTTCATATTTGGCATTTTCAGCTTCTATTATATTACTGTAAGTCACAAAGCTATGTCTTAATCTATTTCACCCCTCCTGCAGCATTGATGATGGCTTGAATTCTGTGGGGACCTCTTCAGTGAGAAAATAAGCAAAATAAAAATAATGGAGATGAAATTGTTTGGAAATAATGAGGGAAAAATTGGTATTATAGAATTGAAAATAGAAATTCTAGAAAAGATTTGGAATTCAAAATTTGTTAATGCAGTTTGAAGACAAATGCCTACAATGCTTTGGCAACATGAAAAGAATAAAGAATGATATGAAAAAGACTTCAGAATTAAAATTTAAAGGAAGAAAAACCTGCAGGATGACCTATAACATGGAGATTTAATGAGGTATTGAGAAATATTGAGAAGAAATTCAAGAAAAATTCAAAAGAAAAATTGATAGGAAGAAAGAAGAGATTGGAAATTTTGTCCATCAATCCACATAAAACAGAAATGATACTAAAAGAAGTTAATACATTGCAATTTTATGACTCAAAAAGTATTTTTCTGCAGGGTTCTTTAGAGACTGAAAAATTGTTATGGAAATATAAAGAATTTCTATATTCCTTGTGTATAGGATTGAGTGTCCTGTTCTTCCAGTTATCCTTCACCGTTGTTCCTCCTCTTCCTCCATTACAACCATCATCGTCATCACTGATGCCCCACTCCCACATCCATAATAATGCTTCATCTTAGGAAACAGACATCTGGAATGTGACGGACTTGAAAATTGGTAACAGTATGGGATCAGCAGTGAAACAGTATAGTAAGTAATTATCCAACCTCTGTTTATCTGATGTTTCACTTTATATGACATAGCCATCCAACCTGCTATTTATAGTGTTATGCTGTGCTTTCATGTACACTATTTTGCCTACTCCTACTGGCTGCTTTGTGTTAGTGCATCACCTACTACCATGGGCATAGCTTCGTTTTTTCATCTATGCTACTGATATAAGTTTGTACTGTACATGCTGTGATCATGTTTTATTTTTCCAATTGTATTTTCCCCTTAGCATAAATGTATTGTTTGAGAAGCAAAAAAAAAAAAGATAGACGCTTGTTTTTCAATTGAGCAAATTTTGAAGCCTTAAAGAGAGTAGACAAAGGCGACTCCATGTAAAAACTGCATCCAAGCTCAGTTTAGGGAGAGTTACAGTTGGTGATTGAAACAGGAAAGAACTGAGTTAGAGGCTGGTTTTTTTCAGTGAATTTATTTCTTCAGCAAAGCAATTTTTAAAACTGCTAAACCTACCAAAGAAAGCAATTCATTTCATTGATAATGTGTCATCTCACCCTAATGAGGATAAACTGGGTATTGGGGACATTAGAGTAGTTCTTCAGCCTGAGGGCCAGGGGATGCTTAAAGCATTGAAAAAAATATCAGTGTATACTTTTACTGTGCTCATTGAGGTGGCAGACAAAGGAAATGGTATGCTAGATAAGCTATGGAAAGTGAACCCATAAGATGTTATTTTTTGGATTGTACAATCATGCAAAGAGACTGAATCACGAACTCTGGTAGGATCATGGAAAAAGTTAGTTTTGGAAGATGAAAATATGCAAGAAGTGGCGCAAGAAAATTGTGATTATCAGTATCTTTGTTACAACAAATTCCAGGATGTGAGTAAATGAATGATGATTATATGCAGGAATTGACAGAGAATGACAAGCTACAAGAATTGACTGACTGCAGCATAATAGCTCTGGTGAATTGGGATGGCTGTGAAGATGATGACAGTAGTGGGGCTGGGACTAGGCAGAATGGAAACAATGAATCATAACAAATATTTCAAGGCTCTTGAAGCAGCACTTTCTTTTGTTGAAGAAGAAAGGGAGGTAACTGCTACTGATGTCATGTTACTGAGATGCTGGTATGACCTCGCCCCAAGGAAGAGAAGCAAAGTCTGGAAACGAACTTCAATCACTCATTATTTTAAACAGAATTTTGTATTTTGTTATAATGTATGCTAAAAGTTGCATTTAATTAATTTAAAATCCATTCTTCAGGTTATTTGGTTGGACTGTATTCCTTTAAATAATAGTTCTGTACTCTATTATATTAGTTCTACTGTAGAATAATTATTAATAAACCTGATTTCATACTTAACGCTAGATTTCCATTAAATTTGTGATTTGTTCCACTCTTCCTCCCCTACCAGCTTCCATATTATCTGACAATTTTATTAATATAACAACCAGTTTTTCCCGTTTAAGTCAGATAATTGGGACTCTACTTTAATTAATCGAAGAGGGCCCATGACTTTTGTAGAATGGAGATTGAAGGTCTGATCATGCAACATCTCAGTTCACTGCCTCAGACTCCAAATAGTTTGTTCCAAGTTGTGATACTACACTGCCACATGGAATTCAGTGAATCATTTCTCAATATATGCCTGTAAACTTACTTTCTGACAAATCCTCATCTAAGATTTGTCAAACTTGACTTGGAAGTATATGATAAATGTTCTTATAAAAGCACATTACATAATCTTTTTTTTAGCTATAACTGGAATATTTCTGTATACACCAAGAACATTTTATGACAAAAATTCTTGTATAATTATCTCCGCTACTTGGTATATTGCCTTCAGAATCTCCTACAGTTGAATTCAACACCATTTTTTTCAGGGTTGAAATACCAACAGAAAAGAGGGTGAAGCGATGGGCTATAGCAATGGAAGAGTTGGTCTCGGATCCAACAGGTAAGTAGTTTCATGTCTCTTAATGTGAAGTGCATATTTATATTTCAGCCAGAAAAAGAGTACTAAACAGAGTATTAAATTACTTAAATTAATTTTTTTCTGATGCTATAAGCCACGTAGATAAGTCAATAAGTAAGTTACAAATGGATATAGAACTTAAACAAATAAGAGTACTGATTTGAAAAATGCTTTTATTTCTCAACATAATCTCCCTGTACATTGAGGCACTTGCCCCATCGTTTCACAAGCACCTGAAAACCAGCAGCATAAAATTCTTTGGGCTGCTGTCAGAACCAGGCAGTGACTGGGATCGCAAAGGCATACTGCTCACCACATTCCAGCCTCAAGGACAAACTGTAAATGCTGACTCCTGCTGTAACATCCTTAGGAAAATTCATAAGGCCATTCGACGGAAGCAACCAGGACTCCTCACCAAAGGCGTGTTGCTCTTGCATGACAATGCGAGTCCCCATCCTGCCAACAAGACAAATGAGACGCTACAAAATTTCAAGTGCAAAGTCCTCGAGCATCATCCATATAGCCCCGACATCTTGCTCCAAGCGACTTCTATTTGTTCGGCCCTCTTAAACATCATCTTTCGGTCGAACATTTTCCTGACAAAGATGTAGTAAAGGAAGTCACTACCTGGTTCCGACAGCAGCCCAAAGAATTTTATGCTGCTGGTTTTCAGGGGCTTGTGAAATGATGGGGCAAGTACCTCAATGTACAGGGAGATAATGTTGAGAAATAAAAGCATTTTCCAAATCAGTACTCTTATTTGTTTAAGTTCTATATCAATTTGTAACTTATTAACTTTAACTCCTTCCTTTAACTGCTCTCTGCATCTTGTAAGTTATGTGCAGTGATTACATTCAGCAAGAGTCATTTAATGTCACTAAGTTCTATTGAATTATGCACAGTGAAGATTAAGTTTGGGCTAGCCCAAAGACTGTGTTTATATTAATCATTTAGTGCAGAAGGCCAGGTATACTTGTAGAACAGTAAAGATTGAAATTTGGACTGCCAAAAATGACTATTATGTTAAATAAAATGTGTATAGACAATTTTTGCTAGTAAAACTGAAATAGACAAATACTAGACTCTAGCATTTCCAGTTCATATAAATCTAAAACAAAATAAAGTTATTCTCCCTCATTCTAGAGACTAGCTCTCTGGGACTGAGATTTTATGTGGTTTTTATCAGTTCCTTCAGACATACTGAAGCAGTACCTTAAAATAGGTCATGACCAATTTCTACCACATCCTTCCTGCCTCACTCTTCACTGTCATTATTTTATTTGATACCGTTACTTGTTAGTGACCAGACACAACCCATTAGTCTGCTCATATGTTGCTCATTTAGAGATTTTGTGTAGAATATATGAAGCTTGGGCCTGCAGGGGCATAAGAAGGTGCATGATTTTATGCTTTATACCAGTTTATAGTGCTCTGATATGCCTTCTGTCTTTTCTTGACTAGTCTCCATCCTGACCTCTAACTTTTCCTGATAGGTTTCAGTCATTTCTGGATATGACTCCATCTTGGCCTCTAGCTTTTTGTGATTAACATCTGTCTTTTCTAGGCAGGCAACCATCTTGGCCTCTGGCCTTCCTCAGGTGGCTACCAGGGGTTTAGAATCCATCATGATTATCCATCACGTGGATTCCAATCCAATGATACGCAATTCGATAAGTCCCATGATTCAGTCAAATCCAATTTGTCAAATCTATTTCATCCAACTTCTGATAACAGTTGTCATGTGTTAGTGAATAGATACAGAGTTTGGATTTTTAATTAGATTTATTGAACTTTCTTAGCTTGTAACTACAAAGGATTATAATGTTTTCACCGATCTATGCACTCCATAGATTGCTATTGCACATGCTAAGTCTCACTCTGTTATAGTCTTCACTGCTCATTGCTAGGTAGCGGCTCCCAGCAGTGGGTAATTCTCTGCTTTTGTGCTCATGCCCATCTCTCAGCTAACTATTGAATCTCATGGTATTCTCATTATGTAACCTTGGCTTGGACTGCATAGAAATTAAATTGGGTAATGCTTGCCATCATTCAGTCCAGAACATTTTGTCTTCTTCTCTGCTGTCAACACACACATTGTTATGAAGTTCTTCTTCTTCCATAGATTCCCCTTGATGCTGGCAATTGCAGTGTACACTGAATCATTGGAAGAACTTCAGCATTGATGTGGCTCAACGCTGAAAGTCTATTTTAATTTTCACATCAGACACAAGCTTAGGGCGAAAAAGGGACGGTACTAACTGAATGACCATATCAAGAAAGTAGTTTCTAATTGGGTGCAAAAATTATCATGTCTCGCAATGAGCTCTATTATTGTCAGTATAAAAATTCTTTAAAATTTAATACATTTAATTANCGCCGGTGATCGTGTTACGGTCTGACTCACTAGGCATCTGGCGTAGCCACTGCCTCATGGCTCCCACGACCGCGCTCAACGACTAGCCTTTCACCAGCAGCTGCCGCACTGCGATCAAGCAGCCTCCAATTCACGCTGCCGCACGGTAACCAAGCAACCTCCAGCCACGGCCGCATGCGGCCAGGCCACTCACCGCAACTAGCCTTTCTCCTTACCGGCGCGCGCCACGCTACCTCACCGTCAAATCATCTCAGCAACCACGGTCCTTTTCAGGGCCAACAAATTGTTCCGAAGAAGTGGGTTGTCATAGGAGTAATGACAAAGACACTCGTAAAGAGAACCCCACAACCTCAAAATAGTGAGTTTTTTCAGCATGACATAGGAAAACAAATGAAAATTCTGATTTTGCATGAGTGGCGCCATTAGAGTTAAAGGACCACACAAGACAAGGAAATCTGTTCTCCTGAAAGCATCATAGTCCTGCTGTAATTACTGCTGTTTTATTTTAATGATCCACATTTTAGTTGACAAGCTTCTGAAGACAGCAGTCAGTGAACATACAAGGCACAATAGATCACTGTGGTTGCGGTGCAAGGGCCAAGAGGGCCCACCCCTTATACATCCATTCATTCGGTGAACATACAGAAATGATGAAATATAAAATTATTTGTTCTAACCACATTCATCCTGCCAATACCCTTAACTTGAAATACATCATTAATCCTTGAATCATCAAGTCGATATAAAGAATGACTGAGAATATGGCTCTTGCATGAAGAAAACACACTCTGTTAAAATGGTTAGTTTCTTTATGGTTCTTCTGATAACAGTTGCTGTATCCTCTTAACATCAAATACAAGGTGGTTCAAATATGACCGGGACTGATTTTTTCTTTAAAAACCATAATTGCCAAACACTTACTTGCACATGTCAGTCTTCAATGTACTCCCCTCAGGAGTCAACACATTTCTTCCAACGTTCTGGAAGCATCCCGATGCCCTTTTCAAAAAAGGCTTGTGGTTGGCAGTGTATCTACTCCCGAACAGTCTGGATGACGTCGTCCACAAACCGCATGCCTTGCAAATCTGATTTGAGCCTTCCGAACAGGCGGAAATCACTTGGGGCCAAATCGGGACAGTACGGCGGATGTGTCAGGAGGCTCCATTTCAATTTCTGGAGTGTTTCCACATTTTTTTGGCCGTATGGGGTGTGCATTGTCTTGAAGGAAGGCTGCCTGCTTTCCACCTATCTTCCGCTTGGATCTGAGCTTTTCCTTCATGTCTGTTGTCAGGAGGTCTGAGTAATAAGCTGCATTGACTGTTCTGGCATCTGTCAGAAAGTCTACATGGATAACCCCCTGCCAGTCCCAGAAGAATGTTGCCATCACTCTTCCTGCCGAACGGCTCCTCTGCACTCTCTTGGGTTTGGGAGAACTGGTATGCCATCACTCGCGTGATGATTGCTGGGACTCAGGAATGAAATAAAGCACCCATGTTTCATCAGTGGTTACTACAGACTTCAAAAATGCATCACCTTCGTCTTCAAATTGCTGTAGGAGACGACTGGTAGCTTGCATGCATACCATTTTCTTCACATCCATCAAAGTGCGTGGTACCCACCATGCATTCACCTTGCGATAGTGCAGGTGGTATTTCACCATGTCTTCTACACTACCAACACTGATGGACAGCATTGCTCCTAGTTCCTTGATAATGATGTGCCTATTCTCAAGAATAAGCGCGTCTGCACAATCAATGTTTGGCTCGGTGACGGATGTTTGCAGCCGACGATCATATGGTTCATTTTCCACGCACTCTCTGCCCTCTCTGAAGTACTTACACCACTTAAACACATGGGTCTGTGAGAGAGTCTTCCCCATACAGTTGTTGGAGTCTGTGGTGAATTTCAGCGGTCCGGACGTTTTCTCCACTGAGGAATTTGATCACAATGCTTTGTTCCACGCTCCGTGGTACCTTCTGTTCGCTCATCATTCTAGCAACTCCCAGACAGGACTGAACAGGAGGGAGGGTGGAGGTTGTGACTTCACTCTCTCAAGGTCGCACAGCTGCTGCGCAGTGCGGCTTGTTTACTCACAAATCAGTCCCGGTCATATTTGAACCACCTTGTAAAACCAGTAACATACCCTGTTAGTGAACTGCTGAGTTAACAATTATTAACCCATAGGAAAAATCTGGCTTCATGCAAGTTTTGTTTCTTTATTTTATTCGAAAACTTTATTTAGACGTTTTTCTAATAATCTCATTACCAGATGAACAAATGAGAATGAATAGACTTTAAAGGATTCTGATGATGGTGTATGTTGTACAGAACTATAAGGTTTATTTTGGTCCAGTGATTGAGACTAGCTCTTTCTAACGGGCCCAACTGAGTAGGTCTATCTTACCCCATCCACCTGAGGATGGAGGCAGATCCAGTCTCTGAAACATTGTGGTTATACCAGATGATGGATAGAGTCCAAAATAAACCTTATAGTTCTGTAAAGTAAGAATGAACTTTAAATTGAGTTAAAATTAAAATATTATGGGTTCAGTAAAGCTTGTATGGTGGAGCAACATAAACCATTTTAACAAATTTTCATGCAAAATTATGAGGGAAAAATCATGTGTCAGAGGATTAAATGAAAATTGTGAAAGTTCACCACCAGACTCATGACACTTCAGTGCTACTGATGAACATTTTTATATGGTTATAGTGATTCTGATCTGCTCTTTGTTTCTATACAGGGCTGAAAGAATTCACCAGCTATTTGAGCAAGGAATATAGCCATGAAAATATCAGGTTTTGGATGGCAGTGAACGACCTGAGACGAAGTGCACAGTCCCAGATTCAGCGCAAAGTGAGGGAAATTTTTGAGTAAGTTTCCATAAAGACTGGAATTGCAAACTAATATGGTACAAGTGTGCCCATACAAAAAAAATGTGCACTGCAGTTTCAGAAACTCTCTTTGGTTTTCACGGTGGTTATTTATAAACACTCTAGGTTTTTGGATTCCCCATTTTTGTACCATCATAACATAATTCTTATGGAGAAGGCATTGCAGAGATTATCTACAGAATTTCACATATATAAAATCTTAGTGTACTACTTATAATTACTTGAAGAAACAACTATCTTATCTTAAAAAATAAAAAAGTGTCATGGCATAACCTAGCAAAAACACATTTTGTTACCATGGTTTTTATGAAATATACAAATATTATGTACTCATTATATTCATGATCCCTTTCATTACTAATTTGGAGGAAACTGACTTGAACTCAACCCATACATATAGCAGCAGCACTAACAATTTTCTTGGATTGTCTCTCCAAGACATCTATCATGAAATAAGTGAACTAAAAGTTTAAAAATCTGGAATGGTTTGAAAATCTATTTTGTGCTCTGCTGCTAGCTATTGTGAGAGCCAAAGAAGAAGAATATTTCCTTCCAACTGTGAATTGATATTGGATTTATGAACTACATACTGTGGATAGCAGCCTCTTGAGCTGTGAAGGGGTTTAAATAATAAAATAATCTGCTTCATTGGCTCAGCTGATTGACTGAACAACTTATCAAGACCAAGTCAAATTACATAATGAGATGCTATTTGTTTACTTAATTTAACAGAACTGATTTTTCAAATTCTTTCATCATCGTGAGCATTTGATCAGTCAGAACATTGATAAAGGTGCAAAAGTTTTTTATAACATGATTGTACGTACACAGCGTGACAGTTAGATTCCCAGCAAACGCTATTGTAATACTATTAATGCTATCTATCAGGGATGAATGGGACTAATTAAACTTTTATTTATATGATGTGCAAGTTTCAACTTGTTTTGTTGGTGCATATGAGGATCATGATTGTTTTGGTGAAGTTACTCTTTTAGTCATGTCGAAGGGTTCAAAATGGAACAAAGAGCAGTAATTAGTTTTGTGTAAAATTATGAAAACAGCCACTGAAATATTTGAAATGTTGAAAAGTGCATAGGGTGAAGAATGTTTACCTAGAGCAAGTATGCTTGAATGGCGTAAAACGTTCAGAGAAGGGTGAGAATTGTTACAAGACTAACAGAGAAACCAATGTTTACTGAATTTTTTTGTACTAAAGGTATCATTCTTCATGAATTTGCACCAGAAAAACAGCCTGTAAACGAAAAATTTTATAAAGAAGTAATTAAAAGATTAATCATTCAAGTTCATTGCGTTAGGCCTGAGTTTTAGGGAAGTGGGTCCTGGTATCTTCTGCACAACAATACCCCACTACATTCTCTGAGTTTTGTGCAAAACGAGAGATTCTTGTATTATCTTATCCACCCTAATCCTTTAATTTATCACCAGCTGACTTTTTATAATTCCTAAATCAAAATTTCTATAAAAGGGACAAGATTCGAGGCTGTTCCATTGATCCATGAGACTGTGATGAGAGAACTGAAGGAGATACAGGAAGAAGCGTTTTCTCAGCCATTTCTATTTGTTGTATGAGCAATGTAAACATTGTGTGGAAGTGGGCGTGTCTGTACTGATTGATGGAATTAATATGTATTTTTTATCTTTTTGTTGGTTTTTATAGCCTCAGTTCGGGAACTGGGTTGTCACACTGTGTGGTCCAGAACCTTTTGTCTTCTCGTCTGTTGTCCAAAAACATAAAAATTAGAATATACAAAACTATAATTTTGCCTGTGGTTCTGTATGGGTGTGAAACTTGGTCTCTGACATTAAGGGAGGAACATAGACTGAGGGTGTTTGAGAACAGGGTGTTGAGGAGAATATTTGGACCGAAGAGAGATGAAGTGAGAGGAGGTTGGAGAAAACTGCATAATGAGGAGCTTCATAACTTGTACTCTTCTCCAAGTATAATTAGAATGATCAAGTCAAGGAGGATGAGGTGGGAACGGCATGTAGCAGGAATGAAGGAGACGAGGAATGCGTGTACGATATTGGTGGGAAAGCCAGAAGGAAAGAGACCACAGGGAGGACCAAGGCATAGGTGGGTGGACAGAATTAGAATGGATCTTAGAGAGATAGGATGGGATGGTATGGATTGGATAGATCTGGCTCAGGATAGGGACCAGTGGAGGGCTCTTGTGAACACGGTGATGGACCTTCAGGTTCCATAAAATCCTGGGAAATTCTTGAGTAGCTGCAGAATTGGCGGCTCCTCAAGAAGGGCTCAGCTCCACGAGTGAGTGAGTAAGTAAGTAAGTAACAATAAATTATAATACAGATTAAGTTTCATTCATTTATGCAATTCAAGGATCTTAAAATGTTGCACATTCAAGTTTAAATTTAAATATAAATGATATGTTTTCTGCTTAGATTATGGTTATGTATGTTAAAAAGTTGATTTAACTTTTAACACAGTACTTAATTCTATGAAAATAAAACATATAATCATTTACATAAATTTATACTGGAACCCAGAACATGTCGAAACTCTTATTGACACTAGTAAAGACATTGGTCTAGAAGTAAACACATAGAAAACTAAGTATATGTCACTATCTCATCATCAGAATTCAGGGCAAAATCAAGACATAAAAGTGGCTAATAGATCCTCTGAAAGTATGACACTTCAAATTGATTTCAACAACTCAAAATTTGATTTAGGAGGAAATGAAAAGGAGAATGAATTCGAGTAATGCTTGCTACCATTCAGTCCAGAACATTTTGTCTTATCATCTGCTGTCTAAAAATGTAAAAGTTTGAATTTTTTTATAATTTTGCTTGTGATTTTTTATGGGCATGAAACTTGGTCTCTGATGTTGAAGGAGGAACATAAACTGTTAACAATATTTGGGCCAAAGAGGGATGAAGTGATAGGAGGTTAGAGAATACTACATAATGAAGATCTTCATAACTTATACTCTTTGCCAAGAATAATTAGAATGATCAGGTCAATGGGGATAAGATGGGCAGGACAGGTAGCACTCATGGGAGAGAAGAGGACAGCATTTAGGATTTTGGTGGGAAAGCCAGAGGAAAGAGACCACCATGAAGACCTAGACGTAGGTGGGAGGATAATATTAAAATGGATCTCAGTGATAAAGAATTGGGTGGTATGGACTGCATTGATGTGGCTCAGGATAGTGACTAGTGAAGGGCTCTTGTGAACTTGGTAATGAACCTTTTGGTTCCATAAAATATTGGGAAATTCTTGAGTAGCAGCATAACTTGTGGCTTCTCAAGGAAGGCTGAGCTCCATGGAGTTAGTTGGAATTCTAGCACATACATATATGCATATGTGTGTGTGTACATGTTTATATGTATGTCTCTCTGTTTACCTGTCCTAAGTAAACTCAGTGTGTATTTAGAACACTCATTTCTTTCCTTTATGTGCAGCGAATTCCTGGCCCCTGGTGCCCCATGTGAAATCAACATTGATGGGAAAACAATGGAACGGGTACACCAAGAACTGCGCGCTCCAACACGTTTCACATTTGACTCAGCAGCTGAGCATGTATATACTCTTTTACTTAAGAAAGATTGCTACCCACGATTCATTCGCTCTGAGCACTACAAGAACCTTCAAGCTGCAGGAGTGCAACCTTCACAGAAGAAAAGGTTTGTTTTCATTTGTTAGAATGAGTTTAAATAAATGAATAATTTTGTTCCATAGACTTTGCAAGACAAAATGTAAGGTTACTCAACTGCATCAGTTGCTTCTGCGCATTCTGCAGGAATATCTTTCCTTTCTCCACAGCATTTATTGTTAATGTTTGCTTCTCTATTGAATATTATTTAAAAACTTCCTGAAGTGCTTGCTAATATTCCAGTCAGTTCTGCAGTTGATTGCTCACAACATCTAATAAGTATCTTAGAAAAGTAAGAAATTAGTATGACCCATGATTGTATGCAGTATGAGTACCATCTGGAAAATCCTTAGTGACTGATTTTTAAGCACTGTCAACCAGGCAACATTTAATTTTAGTAAATGTTTTTGAGCTTATACATAACATTCTTAATAGTATGCTTCACATGCTTCATGCATCTGATAGTTGCAAGAGAGATTTTGTGTAAAGTAAAAGAGTAAAATTTTCCCTGTGCTTAACTAACCAACATACCATGAAGGCATATGGGGGAGTGGATGTGTAGATCCACATTATCTTGACCTTTTCCCACAGTGGCGGCCCAGGTTCGATCCCGGGTCTGGTCAAGTGGGATTTGTGGTGGACAGATTGGCGCTGGGGCAGGTTTTCTCCGAGTACTTTGGTTTCCTATGCCAATCTTCATTCCACCAATTACTCCACAATCACCCTCACCTATCATCTGGGGCTGGTACAATAGGCCAGAAGTGGCCGCAGTACAAGGGACTTAGTCCCACCCCACTAGCGATAATAATAAAGCAATAATAAATCTTGACCTTGGCACTAGTTGGAGGTAAGTGGTCAGCTTCATGTCCTGGCAGCTTTACCCCGGGGGAAAAATTCCTGGGTACCCATTGGATAGGATGTTGGATCAGTTGTATTAGTGTACTGGAAAATATTATTTTTTTGCGATGTGGCCTATGGGTAGTTACTGAATTCCAGTGTGGCCCTTCAGTATTTTAAACTACAGCACCATTGATAAAATATATAGAAAGAATGAATAAATGAATGAATGTATGAGGGGTAGGCCTCCTCAGCCCTTGCACCATGAGCTACAGTAGTCTGTTGTGCTTCCCCTTTTGATTATCCCCTCGGCAATTCTGCGCTTCGAATGACAGTAGGTTGGAGAAAACTGCATAATGCGGAGCTTCATAACTTGTACTCTTCTCCAAGTATAATTAGAATGATCAAGTCAAGGAGGATGAGGTGGGCAGGGCATGTAGCAAGGGAGACGAGGAATGCGTATGGGATATTGGTGGGAAAGCCAGAAGGAAAGAGACAACTGGGAAGACCAAGACATAGGTGGGTGGACAATATTAAAATGGATCTTAAGGAGATAGGATGGGATGGTATTGATTGGATTGATCTGGCTCAGGATAGGGACCAGTGGAGGGCTCTTGTGAACACAGTAATGAACCTTCGGGTTCCATAAAATGCTGGGAAATTCTTGAGTAGCTGCAGAATTGATGGCTCCTCCAGAAGGGCTCAGCTCCATGAGTAAGTACATAACTGCTATTCATGCTATCAGACAACAAATTTTTCAGGGAGTAAGTCTTGTACCTGCCAGTACATTGATGTTTTTACCTTGTGGCTGATGCTCAACATGAGAATACTTAGCAAGCATGCTTTTAGAGTAAAAGTGCTGTAGTTGTGAAGTGATGAATTTTCCCTACAGTGAAAGTCTGCCAAACCTTGTATAATACTGCTAGATTTGCTCATCATCCCTCCCAAGCCTTATAATTTGTACACTGTGATGCTTTTTGTATGTTATAATTGTAGTACCAGCCATTTTTCTGAGTTTTTTTAAAATATCCATCCTTATTCCTGGCTGTTCATCAGCATCAATTTAATAAATAAGTATGTGTGTTTATGACATTCATGCACAATATTCATATGTCTGTGTGTATTAACTCAATGTCACTGTATAATTCTGATTATTGCTACAAATTCTCCAATTTTTGCTTTTTCTGGTTATACATATATTGCAATTTGTTTCTGCCTTGTATGGTCTCGTGTATCTCATGAATGTTTATCTACCATTTTCCACCTATTACATGTCTGCTGAGCTAATTGATCTGGTTTGCAAGACCTCCATATCAGAGTCTTAATAAGTGAACAAGGAATTTGCTTTATTGACTTCATAGGAATTTTGGAAATTGAAAATCAGAATGAAGATGTGAAACTGTGATTTTTCTAGGTTTCTCTAAGCACAGGGAACAGGTGGAAAATATTTTGATGAACAGCCAAATGGTTAATAGAAAATTAATTTTTCATTTAATAATTGATTTTCAGTTCACGAGGCAGCAATACAGGGTGATTCACGAAGTTTTACCCCAGCTTATGGTACATATTCCTGGGGTTCTTTCCTGCAAAATTTCCTTATAAACTTGTGGTCGATTTTCAATAGTTACGGAGTAACAATAGATTTTTGAAACACATCATTGTGAATGCAGCGCTGTGCTTCAGCATGGGCGACCATACATTCCAGTCAGCTATGTCAGCAGATAACGCAGACCGGTTTGAATGTTGCGCGTAGGTAGATAGGCAGAGCGGTTCATACGCGTGCGACACATTGCATTGTGTTGACGTGCAAGGAGACATTTTTGAAAATCTTATGTAATTCCATTCATCTTCTAAAGCACTACAGTTTAAAGGAAACAGATTGATAGAAGGGTGTGATATGCAACCATTGGTATGTTTACAGAGTGGGATGCTGAAAATAATGTAATTTTGTAACACAAAATCGATGAAAAATGTTGCACAATGCAAAATTAAGAAATTGGAAAAAAAATTGGTGTTAGAATGCTTCTTTCCTAAAACATTAACGATTTAAAAAGTGTTTGTATTGTATTTCTAATTTGTTTTGACTGAAATTCAAAGAAAAAAAGATTTTTCACCAGTTTTCAAATTACTGTATCTCTTTAATTATGAGTTGGATACCATTAGTATATTAACATTTTTTGTTCCAAATTACCTCAGGAATGCCCTCCCTAAGTGGGGGTAAAACTTCGTGAATCACCCTGTATATATGTAAATGTGGGAGAAAGATTAATCTCTTTACAATTCACTTTAAGGTTTTTTGGATTTGGTGGTCCTACAAAGAAGAAAACCTCAACAAGCAATGCTCCAAATCCATCTTCGCTACTGCAGCAGCAGGTTGTGACTTCACTCCAGCAGCAGGGCTTTGGAGCACTGGGGAAGCGCAGAGGAAGTGATAGGAGCCTGTCAGGATCAGTACATGAGCTGACAATGTCGGGAGTGAAGGACATGTCCAACAGGGTTACTCACTCCCACAGCCAGTCCAACCTTAGTGACATCCCATACAGGTGAGAAATAGGGTGTTAGAAGATACTGTCACATATTTGGGGTTCCGTGATGAATAATGATAGGTTGTGCATTAGATGACTGGATTTATTGGCATTTTGATTACAATTGCAATCAGTTATAACATCTCAGAATCAATCTTGACTGCAGAGATTTCTCTTCATTCTGCTTCTCGTTCTATGACTGACTGCAAACAATCTTTGTTGTGCCCTATAAAATTTTGGCAAGGACCACCCACAGAAAACACATTGAGAACACTGTATCCTAGCAATTCCTCTATTGTTATAGAGGCATGTTTACATTGCTGTTGCATACAAATGGCAGTTCTTCTATTGTTGCCTGTGTATTCATTGCCACAAAAATGTGTTCAGCAATCCGTTGCCTAGCAATGGATGTATATGTTACAATATAAATCAATAGATTGGAAGTATGGACAGAATTTATGTTATACTACTGGGGAAATTTTGGGACCAGGATACAATTTATAATTCCAGAAACAGGCTGTCAGTGGATGCCATTATATATATTAAAATTTAGTAGTAGTTGCAAAAATCCACAGAGGATTTAATTCACAGTTGAGATGAGGAATGGACATGATTATTGAAAGCACTAACATACTGATAGATGTTCGGTTGGGGGCCAGCAGGGGTGATGAAAGATTGTTAGGAGCAGAGAAAAGTGGAAACATTATTTCGGAAGTATTTAGGGCTTGTTTTGGCAGTGCTATTGGTAATTAGAGGAATTGAGATTAGTCAGGGTTCAAAATAACAGCAAAAGCCAGCCAGGCATAAACATACATGAAAGAACAAGAGGAAGAACAAAAAAAGCATAGCATATTTTTGGTTGATCAGAAGAAGGGTATGAATGAACCAAAAAGACTGATATAAGATTTTGATGTAAAGGTGTATTATTTAAGTCAGTCAGAAATAAAGAAAAGAAAAGAAAAGGAAAGATGCAAAGATGTGATAAGAATCTGCATCTGTTTATTGTTTTTATATTCTATATTACTGATCGTGTAAGTAAATAAATTTGCATGGCCCCATGGTTGGAGATGTAACCATACCAGAATGCTGATGTCTTGGCACAGGCATGTGGACAGCAGTGGACCAGATATATAATAAGAGAGGTTGAAATCAAATGTGAATAAGTCCAAAATGATGGTTACAACTAAAAGAACATGTTATAAGGAGATAATATGAGATAATTAGACACTGATGTTGATGAATGTTTAACTAGGACACCAAATATGAACATTATAATTTTTATTATCTATTCATGAGATGACACCAGTCACAGTGGCTGCTCATTCTAAGGCATGAACCAAGAGTTCGGGGTTTGAGTCCCGGTAGGGTCAAGAATTTTCACCTCTCCATGCCATCCAGACCAGCTCTGGGGTCCACCCAACCTCCTATACAGTGGGTACCAGAGGCTGTTTCCTTGGGGTAAAGCAGCCAGGGCATGAATTTCTCCACTCACCTCTGACTAATGCTGAGGTCAAGTAAATGTGGATCTATACTTCCACTCCCCCATACATCTTCAAGGCATAGTGCTTAATTAGTGAAGCACAGGGACAACTTCACCTTTTTTATGATAAATGTTATAGATTTTTGTGGCATACTTGATGGATGGAATGAAATTAATGAAGATCATGGTAGAACTTGTAACAAAAATACGAGGGTAAGTCAATAAGTAAGTTACAAATGGATATAGAACTTAAACAAATAAGAGTACTGATTTGAAAAATGCTTTTATTTCTCAACATAATCTCCCTGTACACTGAGGCACTTGTCCCATCATTTCACAAGCCCCTGAAAACCAGCAGCATAAAATTCTTTTGGCTGCTGTCACAACCAGGCATGTTCACACGGCATGGCCTACCTCGTAATGAATGATGGGTTAGGTTTTCGTAAAGTCTGTGCATGATGGGTGCCTTGCATGCTGACCCCACAACACAAAATGCAAAGAATGGGTCTGGCATTACAGCATCTCAATCGCTACCACAATGAAGGACACAATATGCTAGCCCGAATTGTCACAGGTGATGAGTCTTGGGTTCACCATTACCAGGCCGAGACCAAGTGTGCATCAGTGAAGTGGAAACATCCTGCTTTGCCTTGAGGCTTGAATGCGGTGAGCAGTGTGCCTTCGTGATCCCAGAAGACTGCAAGCGTCACTTTCCTGGAGGATGGTGTCACCTAAAAATTCTTTTGGCAGGCGATGCAGGATGTTTCCACTGCTGACTACTCACCTCCAACTAGGCTGAGTTTCTGAATTTATACATCCTCATGGCATAGTGCTTAATTGGTTAAGCACACAAACAACTTCATGTAAGATTTGAGGCTTTCACGGCAGTGACTATGAAGAAAGCAGTCTTCTGGGATTTGGCACCGTGTATATGTGGTGTTAACCGACGTTTCGGAGGAACGTATCGCCTCCATCTTCAGGGTAGAAGAAAAAATATAAGAATTCTGCAAGCGAAGAGACCGTGAGAACCGGTAAAAGCAGACTGTGTGGGGATATACACAGCTATGTGAGAGCAGTGAGGGTGAAGGGGGAAGGGCAAGTATACAAGTGAAAGCAGTAGTGTGGGAGGGGTAGGGGAAAGGGAGCTGGGACAAGCGTGGTTTTTGTGTAGGGGAGAGAAAGCAAGGTTAAAGGCTGGGCACAACCTGTAAGCTGAGGGGGTGGGTTGTTATGTTGGTTGGTCATGGCCTGTGTGGCAATCTGGATCTGGCGTCATATCCCGGTGGGGGTTTTTTAAGAGAACAGATGAGAGGTTTCCAAGACTTGCTGAGACAAAACCCCCCCTCTCTGTTCATATTTCCTGGATGCAGTTCAATCTCAATTGCCTCCCTAATAATGCGATCCATATAGCGGGTCTTGGTGGCGAGGATGGAGGTATTCTGAAGCTGAATGCGGTGTCCCAGATCGATGCTGTGTTCAGCTACGGCCGACTTGTCCGGTTGTTCGAGACGGATGTGCCGCTGATGCTCCTTCAACCTCATGTCCACGGAGCGGCCTGTCTGCCCAATATAGACCTTCCCGCGCTCGCATGGGATACTGTATACACCCGGCGTCCTTAGGCCCAGGCTGTCTTTAACCAGCCGGAGGAAATTGGATAATTTGTATGGAGGCAGACCCACTGCTTTGATGTTGTGTCGGGACAGCACTCTGCTGATACGGTTGAATACGGGTTAACACCACATATACACGGTGCCAAATCCCAGAAGACTGCTTTCTTCAAACAACTTCATCTTTACCTTAAAATAAATACCATAAATAAAACACGGAACTCTAATTGATGCTAGTAAAGGGGTAAACATAGAGAAAATTAAGTATATGTTGCAGGATCTGAGATTCTCACCGCAGTGGTTATGTAAATTTCTACCTTTTGGGATATAATGCTATGTTTACCTCCATATTCAGAGTCGAAGAAAAAGGCAAGCAAGAAATCATCATGAAGCAAGTAGAAATCAGAGCCACATAGAAGATAACACATCCAACAATTCTTCTTCTATTGCAAGTGTATTCATTGCAGTGGAATGTGTATACATTGCCGTTACCTAGCAACGATGAGGGGGATACACATACAGATACACAGGGAAAGGAGGCTAGAAACAGAAGCTCTATTGGAGGCAGTGTTGTCCCTGCAGTCTGACCGAAGTTTCATAAAGAGCACAACTCTCTGCTTAGGACTGTGTCAGCATTCAGTCACAGCATGCAGAAACCATAGATTTGGAAGACCTAATTACCGATTCGTTGCCTAGCAGTGTCCATCTCTGTGACACTTCTTTGGCTGCACTATTTTGGCTTTCAGACATCTTGTCACATGTCACATACATTTATATGGTATTGTTATGGTCCCCTCTTCTGGCTTTCAGGGGTTAGGGGGGTAATACCCAGGCACCTGGACAAATAGACACACAGACAGTAAGGTGATCTCATGTCTCCTTTTATTTTTCACAATAAGGAAAGTAGGATAACAATAGATCAGAGAAATGATGGGGTGACCTGGACTGGACTAATCTGGCTCAGGATAGGGACCAGCAGCGAGTTCTTGTAAACATGGTAATGAACTTTCAGATTCCATAAAATGTTGGGATATTTTTGAGTAGCTGAGCAGGTACACATCAACACAAAATTATCTTGATAATTTGAAGACCTGTTTTCAAGAGTGCATTTGACTCTATAAATTGTTTACTGTACATGCGAGCATTAGTCATTATAAACCTACTTCCGAAAGTTATATTAAGCTTGGAAGATATATATTCCAAACTATGCATTTAAGTAATGATCCAGTTGATCTTGTTTACTCCAGTATTTTTAGAAAGAATTTTACTTCATGAACATCAATAAGTCTAATTATTGATTAAAGAGTGTTTTTTCTTGACAAATTAATACAATAACACAAATGTGAGAGATGAAATAAAATAAAATACACATATATTTCAAACCCTCAAAGGATTAATTTATTATTTTGCACTGTAATAGTAGTGATGTAAGATTCCACTCCTCACCTTTTGTTCCAAATGCTGTTGCAGTTTTCAAATTGTCAGTCTGAAACATCACCAGATCCTTTTGTTTGACGATGTAATTCAGATAAAACTTCATACGTACATCTGCTTTGGTATTTCTATATTTTTAAGCCAGCATGTATAATATAATGATGACTTAATTTTCAGGGGTGATCTGCCTTGTCAGTCGAAGGTTCCCTCACCACTTTGGTCTAGTCTGTAAGTCCATAGGAACGTTTATTTTATTACAATGTGTCACATTTTCTAGGTGTTGTATGCGAGTCAGTGTGGTTGATCTCTTCATTTTTCTGAGTGTTGTAGCCTTGGTGACAATTGACAATACATTGTCATTGTATCTGTATTCATGTACATACAACATATGTCTTCCTCTGTTTGTCTTCTGCTGAGGTTCCCACAGCACTTTTCAAGTCGTGTTTGATTTTCTTGGTCACATATAGTATCATCAATACAAGTTTGTAATATCACCTGAAACTCTGGCCAGTTACTTTTAATTTGTACAACTGTACTTGGGGGGGGGGGCATTAAAGTAAACCTGGGATGGTTAGAGCATGTTTGCACTTCATTTAGTTTATGTTTCTTTGTTCCTTATTCATTTAGTAGTCTATTCATCCATAACCCTTTGCTATGCCTAACACAGCAGGTTGGACTAAAATTAAATATCTCTTTTAGACTCAGTGGAAAAAAAAAACATAGTACATAAAGGATATCCAAGTTAAGTGGACTGATGATGTTGGGATATATTGAATTTAACTGGCTTGGCAAAGGGTTTAATTGTTAATTCATAGTGTATATATGATTGTTGATTTTACAAGTTATGACTCCATTTATCACAGTCAAATATTGTTCTTGGCCTGCTAATAGCACAAAACTCCACTGTAATACCACAACAAGTCTCATGATTTGCTACAGCCCTGGCTCTTCCCCACACATTTCTCCTGTCACAGTTTGGTCTGGTTGTAAATATGTTGGCCACAAGTGTTTTTTATTCATGATAGTTAGAAAAGAAAGAAGAACACAAGTGAGTGCAGTGACCAGTGTGGGGGATAGAAGAGCTTGCATTAGGTCTAGTTCATCCTCATTCATTGCAAATTTTAAGCGATTATTCAAAATTGAGTGCATATTTTTGGATATATGAAGGATCATTCTACTGTTTTACTGCCTATATATTTTATCCACATCCTCTGAGGAAGCACTACATGAAATACTGAAAGACCAATAATATCAGGTCATAAGATAAATATCATACAAACCTCCATTAAAAAATTTGCACATTCTACAGTTCACTACAGTGCACACTAAGTCTTCTTAGTCTGTTGTGTCTTCACCAGTCGTTACCTGATGATGGATGCTAACAATGTCATCTGCTTCCGTGCTCACATTCTTACCTGCTGGCGACTGTCTCGCAACTAACTCCAACTCTCAACACTCAACCAACTATCCAGTTCATAACATCTTGGCATGGACCGCACACATAGTTCCTCTCTTGCTTGCTTGTGAAGCCATTACTAAGTAACAGCTGCTGTGTAGCTACTTCTTGTGCAGTTGTTGCCTATCAACAAGTCTACAAGTCACAGTACATAAAGGTTTGGTCATCAGTGTACTCAACTGAATAACATATCATCTGATAGTAGAAATCATACATCATGATGAAACTGTCAGAAATCAGCAGCCCCAACTAGGTAAACCACCCTTTAATGTCATGTATAATAGCTAACACAACAAACTCAAAATTCTCTCAACATATTCTAGAAATGGGACACTCATGACCCCTTTACAAACACTTCCCACAACAAAACACAAAGGGCATTACATGAACACCACAGAGGGGGGATACATGTGTGTGTGTATATATATATATAGTGACTGGACACAGTGTATGGATTGATAATTACAATTAATGGACACTTATAATTCATACTTAGAAACAATTATAACTCTCTCTATAATTTACACACTCTGTAAAGTACTAAAACATTCTGTTTGTAGATATGATGTGAAGGTTGGTCAACAGTGTACCCAATGAAATAACATATTTTCCGGTCTGGTTTCCGGACAATGGATCTGTGAAATTATGTATCTATCTATCTATATTAGATATCATATATTGCCAACATCAAACTGTCAGAAAATAATAGCCTCTGCTAGGTAAATCACTTCTTGTATTTCAGATAGATCTATTAGTGACACTCTAGCCATATCAATAGACAGATTGTTTCCTTCAAGTGAACACATTGCACTACATCAGTTCTCATTTTCAAAGGCACTGATCCTACTACATCAGGAAATATAATTGCATCCATAACTCACATAATAATATACCTGTATATTTCTTAAAACTTAGTACACTACAAACAAAATATAGTTTTAATATCATCTTCAAGGATTCACATTATACTTTGTCAACACATTGGGTCTTGTCTTCAAAGATGTACATTTTATTCCATCAGGAAGTAAAATGTCACCCTTAATCCCAGTATTATTTAATCACCAAAGACTTCATTCATATCAACTGCAGCCACTCACAAAGACTGAAACACCAGAAAGATTTCCAAGTATCCAAGGAAAAGCTGGTGCACAATTTGAAGTTAATAATTTAACTGGAATTGACTGAAGGGCTGTTTAGGAATCTGACTGGATAATTAAGGCTGTGCATTACATAGCTTTGTAAAAAACATCTAAACTAATTAGTAAACACATTTTGGATAAAAAATCTGATTTTGTCATCGTGTCTTTTGAAATGAAATTCCAATCCATTATTATTTTAACAATTTTTTTATATATTTCCACATTTTGACAAATTCTGTGCTTGCTTCATATTATTGATATCATTATTTTATTTATTTATTAAAACCGTCACAACACAACAATATTAAGGTCATGCCTAGTTATATATATATATATATATATGTGCATGTGATAACCATTCATGGTACAAACCTATTGTGAGTGTAATAAAAAATAAACAAGTTTTTGTAATGTAGGTTTGTATGATCATCTTATGAATTCTAAAGCAACCAACTCAGAATTAAATCTCATATAAAAGGAAAATAATATATTTTACTTGTTACCTTTTTGTACTAGTTCAATATATTACATATACACAAACCAGATATACTAGCTGGGACTTTGATATTAATGTACACCTAGCAAAATACGTAAAAAGGGATATGCTTACAATTGTTTAAAAATGGAAGATAAAACTTAGCACTGTTTCTAAAATACTTTTGTTTGTGGATATATTGTATCGCCAAAAAGCACTAAGGAAGATCAGAATGAAACAACACATCATAGGTGTACAAAGAGGAGGAGTGGTATATTATGAGGTTCACAGAAGAAATGAGCGATGTTTCTGCATTTCTGATCAAAAATTGAGAATGCTGCTACAAAAGTGTCCAAGATATTAATCAAGGAAGATTCATGTAATGATTCCTTCAAAGTGATAAGAAGTGATGGCTAACTGATCCGAAATGTTACACTAGCATCCCGTTCTCCCAGAACAATTCAGAAACTGGACATTTGCACTGAGGAAATGTTACCACAGTCACTTGCATGTTAGGTAATATATATTAAAATCTGAAGCTTTTTTGTTACTAAACATCAACAATCAGCATTCAGGTTCTTGCTTTCCTTGCCCTTCACTCAGAGCTAGAAATCCAAATGGATCATAAATGAAAATGTCAAATAAATGATCTTTGGGAAAACCAGGAATTAATTGAAGAGAACAAATCGAAGAGAACAGAAAAGGGGCGGACACAATAAGAGGAGTGCGTAGAAGGGGAGGCAGAAGTAGGGAAACGCTTTTGTCAGAGGATGACTTATCCTGGCAGAAGTGTTGCTGGGTGGTTGTGGTGGTGGCGGCGGTTGTTGTGTTTGTGGTGATAATGAACAACTAGAAGCTGGCTTATGATTCCCTGGAAACATATAAAAAGAAGTATATTTTATGTTGCACATTTGCATATTAATGAAATCTGTTCTTCTAGAAATGCAGTCCTTCAGGCAGTTGTGATCTAATTGTGCAACCCTAGGTTCAATAAAACACAATTTCAGTATAAATGAATTAGTTACATCATGAAGGAAAATGAATAATAAACTATATATGACTATACTTCTAAATATGTTATGTTTTTATTCATATGTGCTAAGAAGCTAAGAACTGAAAAGCATTCTTATGTTGATACACCATCAGTGTTGTATCAGTAGTTTTCATACTTTTCTCTAATAAAATAAAATGTGCTGTGTAAAGTAAATTTCAGTTCTATTGACTGTCCATAACCATCAGAATTCAGTGAATTTAAGTGCTATGGAGTGGGTTAAATGAAATTTCCAATTAAATACAAAAATATCCTCACCGGCTCATTTACAAGTTAGGGAACTTTAGACTGTTTCCTGTACACTAAATTGGAATACTGTGTGACTGTAAACCATCATCATTATGAAAATGAGTAATGACCATATGCACCACAAGCTGACCAGATAAGTGAGCAATAGCAGAACACAGCATTGATGAGAAGCATCAGATAAACCTCAAGACATGATAGTGCTACAGTACAGGCCAGGTTGACAGGACCATAGACTGCTTAGTGAAGAAGGCCCCTGAGATCCAGCTATGCCCTGACAGCTTCAGCATGAAAACAGGATTCATTTTAAGCCATTCACATTACCTTGCCACAAATATTATTATATAAGGGATGACATTAAAAATTTGTAACAAAGGATGAAGGATGAACAACATGGATTATGATGAATCAAAGCAAGACTCCAGTTATCATTCCCTCAATGGTCCCCATTGTAACAGGGCACCACTGACCATTTGACTCCACTTGCTTTTCTCCTAGTAGTTCATGCTGGGACAGGGTACCATTGACTATCTGAGTCCATCCACTGTTTTTTAGGCTAATGGCATACTCTGCAAATGTAAATACATGTTTCTGGAACAATCATCACACCAACCTCTGATGATGGAGATGGGGCCATTCTTTGAAATATCAGACCCTAATTCCATATTCACATAGTTGGTCACTGAAGAAGACTGTCTTGCATACAATTTCCATGAAAGCTTCACATCTTATGTAAATAATTTTACTTCTTAAGTTCATAATAAACAGAATTATCTGTACACAGGAATACACAGAAACTTATCTACGTTACAAAGAGTACCAGAAGATAGAAGTTATATTCATGATTGTGTTCTAAGTTGTTCCAGTGATGAGTCTCTCGTGGTTCAGAATGTTTGAATAAGTTGAAAATTGGAAAACTTTCCTTGTCTGGGAAGATTTAGTTACATCTTATTTCATGCAATGTTAATTATATTTTTCTTTTATTATTAATTATATGATAAAATGACCTACTAAGACAAAATATTTTTATAGATACAAGAAATCAACCTGGCTCAAGGCAGTTTGAAATGCTGTTCATTCATCAGTAATCTGTCAGACGACAGGTCCACAGTCTCTTCCAAAACAGTTCCTCCACTTGATGCGATCTAAAGCCTTCTCCTTCAAATGAAATGAAATGCTGTATAGTGTATAAAAAAATGTGCTTTTAGTAACCCTTCCAACCTACAGCTGCCTGTAGTTTAACAGAACTCTTTCAGTTATAGGTACTTGAAAGAAAGATACAAAGTAAGTTATGTCAGATGTGGTAAGGAGAATGATCTTGCAGACTTACGTCACTGCTAGATGCTACCTTACCCAAATAATACATGTCTAGTTGCTAATATGTGACAATATAAACAATTGTATATAATGTTATAAATAAGCAAAAATTATGTTTGTTTTGATACAAATGTTTTCCAAGAGTGAACACCTGGTTATTGAAAAAATATTTTTGCATGGTGTGAAATAACTTCAAAAAATTCTTGACATGATTTCGAAACCAGAAAACAGTATTGTCTAAATTGAATCTGAGCTCCGTATTGTGCACATTGCCCAAACATTCAAATTTGGTAGCCCAAATAGAGTGAGTTAGAACATGCTGTAAAAGAGAGTAATAGAATACTTTCTTGGGGATAAAGATCACATAAATTATTAAATGTTTACTTAACCTATGAGGTGACCTACAAATTACGATGGGGTACCCAAAAGAAACCGAACTCATTTTTTTGTGGGCAGAGCTTTTGTAGTACCGCGTTTTGCCGCTATGAGCGCATAGAGCTAACATTCCTGAGTCAATAAGCCGACTACCGTTGCTTCAGAAGGTAAGGACTAGTTTCGGCAGAGTTTATAGTGACAACTGTTTTGTGTGATCGTCATTTTTGCAATGGCTGATTTTCGTGAACAGCGTGCGGCGGTGAAATTCTGCTTTTTGCTCGGGAAAAGTGGAACAGAAACTCTTGAAATGTTAAAAACGGCGTACAATGACGATGCTATGGGGAAAACTCAAGTGTTTGAGTGGTTTTCCCGTTTCAAAAATGGTGAAATGTCAATTGATGACAAACCTCGTTCTGGTCGTCCTTCCACGGCCCGAACACATGAAAATGTTGAAAAAATTCGTGAAATCATCAAGGAAGATCGACGACGGACCATTGAAGAAATTGTGGAGCTGTCGGGAGTGACTTGGAGCTCAGCGGCCAGATTTGTGGCAGTCGGGTGACTGGTTTTTCCATCATGACAATGCCCCTGCTCACACAGCCCTGTCTGTACGACAATTCTTGACCAAAAATGGTATGACCCCTGTTCCTCACCCTCCATACTCACCCGACCTTGCCCCGTGCGACTTTTTTTTTTGTTTCCTCGAATGAAAAGAGACATGAAAGGAAAAAACGACGGAGGCGCTGTCAAGCATCTCAAAAGATGAATTTAGACAATGTTTTGAAAAATGGAATAAAAGACTAGACAAGTGTATTAGTGTAAGTGGAGAGTACTTTGAAGGGGATTGAAGGTTTGTGCTTAAAATTTGAATAAATAAGTTTAAAAAAAATAAGTTCGGTTTCTTTTGGGTACCCCCTCGTATATTTAGAAATATGCAAGTATATTACTAGGTATATTAAGAAGTTAATTCTTATAATGCCAGAAACAGATTAGAGTAATGGTAGAAGACATCATTGATCACAGTAAATTCATATCTGACATATCTGTCAGTTTGTGTTGATAAAATTATATATACCCTTATTATTATTGCTTTTTTTTATTGCTAGTGGGGTGGGACTAAGTCCCTTGTACTCAGGCCACTTTTGGCCTATTGTACCAGCCCCAGATGATAGGTGAGGGTGATTGTGGAGCAATTGGTGGAATGAAGATTGGCAGGGGAAGCCAAAGTGTTCAGAGAAAACCTGCCCCAGTGCACTTTGTCCACCACAAATCCCACTTGACCAGACCTGGAATCGAACCCAGGCCACTACGGTGGGAAGCCAGTGACTAACCGCTTGAGCTATGGCACAGCCTATATATACCCTTAGTGCTACAAGTAAATATCTGTTTTGATGGTGGCAGAAAGTATGTCTCACACTATTAATAGGAGCCAGACTAGTTCAGTAGATAAAATTACCTGCCATAGTTTGGATGATGGCTGTGATCTGATTTGCTTTTCATTAACACATCCAGACTTGCTCTTGGGCTCACCCATCATTTTATCCTGCACAGAAGCATTACTTTCTTCCTCTGCTGCTGAGGTTAAGAATATTTGAAATTTCATCTCTTCTCTTCCATGCATCTTCATGGTGTGATGTTAATGTCTTCTTTTACCAAAATAATTGCAGTTAGTTTTAATATATCACATATAGCCGTAGCCTAGGTTTTATACTAGTACTGTAATGTTTCAGAAACTTGTTTCCAAAATGTTTTGGAATCAGCATGGAACATTTCTGATCGATAATGTCCGAAGTATTAAAACTAGGATGCACTTTTGTAATAATTGTAACACGTTACAATATATATACATATTCATGAATTACAATGAAAATTGAAGTCAATATCACTTTTGCCTATACAGATGCTGGTACTGAAAGGGTCAAGGGGTTTCATTACTGATGTTTTATTTGGAGGAAGGAAGGTGAAGCACAGAGAAGAAAGCTGATGGATAGTTCATAATATATATTTGTGGTACATATCAGGATTGACAGCCATTAGTATTAATTTATAAAACAGTGGTACAACTGAAGTAGAAACAGTCATAAATACCCATTTTTGAGACTGTGGTAATAGTATACAGAACTTGCACTGATTTTGTTGTTTTTATGTTATGTTATCTTAAATTCCTGTAGTTTACTAGTGTTTTATTTAGCATGCCATTTGTACTGTTGAATATTATTCATGTTATTCATTATTTGATGTATTTCTCATCTGATTTAATCAATTGTTATTTCATTTGTTACACTGCAGTTAATGATGTCTTAAAACAAATTTTATATTCTTTTATTCTTACAGATAGGCTTAGTTATTTTATTTCCACTTGTACAACTTTTTTCAAATTATACATATATATGTTCCCTTACAGTTTCGTGAAAATGCATTTTAATTTGAAATGGAACATATTTTCACATAACAAAGACAGATTTCAGATATGGTATATGAAGCCTCTTAAGCATTTTCCATAACATTATATTTCAGAGAACCTGATGGGGCAGCCCCTGTAGAGGTGGTGTCAAAAGTATCCTTCAAACACAGCAGAAGAGGTGAAGAAAATTCAAAGGATGATGTTTGTCCTTGGGACTTAGCCACAAATATGCCAACTGTTTCATCTGAGGTCTCATCACATTCTGAGGGTGACAGAAAAAAGAGAAGCAGTATGTCTGCTGCAACAGCATCCTCTTCAATGTGTGAAGATTTATATCCCTGGGATTCAGCATCAAATCAACCTTTGTCCTTGTCAGAACCAAGAACTTCACGCAAGAATTCTATGCAGATAGATTCTGGTAGCTCATCCTCTGACATTAGTGTTGCTGTAACAGAGGTTTCTGATAGGCTGAAGAAGTCCTGTGGCCTAGGACAGCCATGTCCATTTGGTGCTTCAGCTGTGGAACCTGAGAAGAATGTTCGCATGTCATCTGAGGAGCGTGTTATTGCTAGGATCCAGACAGTCAGAAAGTACTCCACAGCTTCCATCATTGGCTTAGGCTTGTCAGAATCACGCAGATCATCTGTAACAACAAAGCTTCCTGGAAGTACTAGGCCTTCAGTGTCTTCCTCAGAGGACTTTGCTTTAGGAACACCTGCACAACGCTCCTTTGATTTACCAGGTGCCACAACTGTGTGTTCAGAGACGCAGGACAGGACCAGTAAGAACAGTGATGACCCATGTTCGAGAACTTATAAAAAACCTCGTAAGAGATCTTCAGTGTCTGTGACCCCCCTCATAAGTGTAAGTTCAGCTGTGGATGATACCGGTGAAGAAACTTGTACCAGTGAGACATTGCAGGACCCACTTCATATGACAGAAGTTGAGGAAGTTGCTCCTAGTCATGCAAGTGGTAATGGTGATAAGGCATTACATACAGAGTGTGTAGTGGCCTCATGGGAAGAACATGTTGATTCTCAGGACAGGAAAATCAACGAAATATGTCCATGGGAAGATGAGTAAGTACAGATTGATATCCAGTATACAGTCAGTATATATTTTCACCCTCAGTTCCCTAGGTATATTGATAAACATTTTATTATTAATAATGTAAATTTGAACTACTTACTATCTGCAGATGATCAGTTATGGTGACATTAGAATGTGACTTTGGAAGGATTTATTATACTAAATAACAAGGGATTAAAACATATTGTTATTATAGTTACAGAAGAGCACCCTTAATATCAAGGGCTGGCAGAAAATACTAATATAGGAATCCTCTGTGTCATAGACTGTCTGATTCCAGAAAAAGTCATTCCCTTTTAGAAGAAACACAAATACAACTCAGAATGGAACCATTTAGGAGAAACAGTAAAGATAAGAGGCTTGTTGCAAGAAAGCGCCATAAAATTTCTGCATACTCAGGCTGTAATATCGTTGCTAATTCCAGACAGTGCAGTAAAAAAGCAGTTTTATGTAGCAATGAAGAAGTTCTTAACAATCTTGACAGACAAACTAAAATAAGTGCAGAACTAATTCTACAAGAATATAGGCCTTCTGCAAAAATATACTTCCCAGTGGAGTTCAGGTCATATTTAAATCCTAGTAGGGCATAATAATGAGGTGAATAATACAGGGAGATTGGAAAGTCACACTCGTCAAACTAAAAGTTGTTATAAATTGTATTGCAGTTAATATAATTATATCTCCTACCACTAGATGGTACTGTAGGAGTACTAACAACGAGTAGAAACACCATCTGTCCTGTATCGGTAATACGACGTCTGCAGTATAGCTTTGTTTATTGCATGACAGACATGTCGTTTTTCCAAGAACAATGAGTTTTCATGGAACTGATCAAGCTAAGGGTGTATAGTTTGTTGGTTTAATATTATATTAGAAGTTATGGATGTGTTAGCATACATATTAGGCATCTATTAACCAGTGTGACAAGATCAATTGCACACAGAGGTAAGCAACTTACAGTCAAAAAGCCCTCCATATAAACACCCATAATATCAAGGCCTTGGGTATATATTTTCATTCTTGTAAAATCAGGTCTTGTGTACAGGAAGTTGCTAATACTGATATATGTGTGTGTGAGTGTGTGTGTGTGTGTGTGCGTGCGTGCGTGCGTTCGCATGCGCGCACACAATTTTATTATTTTTGTTTGGTTTAAAATTCACATATGTAGCTAACTAATGTCTTTATTCTTTCCTTCAGGGAGAGCTGTAAAGTGGATACACCATTTGTGAAGACGTATGCAACACTGGGATACCTCTGAAAGGTTAAATTAATGGAAATGCCAGTCATTGAACATATGTTACAACTGTGTTCTATCATTTAAATGTAGGCAACCATTTAATTTTCATTGATGATCCTCAATTTTATATTATGTGTGATGTTGGGGTAAATGCGTTTGGTATGCACTGTACAATAGTTTTTTTTTTCTATGGGAAAAGAATGTTGCAGTGTGTGTCCAATGTAACATGATCAGAATGCACTAATTAAACATTAGAAATTAAGTTTTAACCTTTTGCTGCCAGAATTTTTAAGTAATGGAAATTCCTTTTAAGACAGTTTATTCCTTCCAAATATTTATAACCAATTTTTCAGTTGCTACATTATTGCACTGTATGAAATTCTGTCATTTTCATCAGGAAGAAATGTACACTGGCTTATCATTTTAGAATATTCTTTTGATAAGCAAAAGTGAATTGCCATTAATGTAAGTGCAATAATGTGTTGGCATGCATATTTAAGTAATAATAAAATTATGGTACCCATGTAGTACAAATATATACGAGTATATATATATTTATTTATTTATTTATTTATTTATTTATGATTTATTTTAATAAGGTAAAAGGTAAAGGTGCTTGTTTAAGAAGCCATGAAGACCCATAGGATTGTGAGACCTCAAGGCTCCCACGTCTTACAGCTGATCAGTCCACAGATGGCGGTAAGCTTGTTAGCCTTACACGCCAGTGACCCTTTACCCCAAGGAAGATTGCTGGTACTCATTTCTTTTAGAGGCTGAACCTACCTCAGGACCATAGTGTGACTGGAAGCATTAGGTCAATTGGAAAATCCAGTGACCTCATGGGAATCAAACCCATAACCTTGCAAATAAAAAATGTTACAGAAAGTTAAAAATAAGAATTCAGTAGTACGATATGACTTGGTGGGTATATAATTCAATGTGTAAAAAAGTTTGTGGGAATCAAGTTTGAAGAATATTGTAGCAGAAATTTGCACATACCAAATAAAAATATTAATTCTTGAGCTTAATTAATGCATGATTAGTTGAACGAATGTCTGTAAATTGGGAAGTTATTCGTACTTTCTTTTCAACTTATGTTCCATGAATATGGTGAAGAATTCAAACGTTCATAACAAATATGAATGTATTTCGGTTTGCATGAGAAACTAACTGAAAATTAACATATTTTAACTGTCATGCAAGACATACTAACTGTGTAATGAGTATACTTGGGATTAGCAGTGAAAGGATTAAAATCCAATTAAAATGACTTTATTATGTAAAGCATGTACATGAAAACATATAACTGAATGATGAATTTTGATAACAAAAGCAACATAAGGGTACAACTAATATTTGCTCTTGCAGTAGGTTGATGGAGTCATTCTGATACTCTCATTATCCAGTGGAGGGTGATCATGACACTTTAAGGTTCAAACTGGAAGCAGTTATCTGATTCACATACCTCCAGAATACAAGGCAGATGTCTTGATTTTCACTGCTCTACTTTTGACCACTATTAAGGATACTCAGAACTGTGTAATATATGTGCAAGACCTGTCATATATGTCAGAAGTTTGTACAGTAATTGAAGCTTCTGAAATATGGTGGATGAATTCAATAGCAGAAGTTTCAGTTTCCGGTTATAAACAGATTTAAAGGCTTTGCAAATTAATAGTATTACAAATAGGATTTCATACATCTGAAATAAATGTTCGTATATGTTGAAGGTATGGAAGAAAGTTGAATCAGACAGTCCTGAAGTAGCGTTCATGAGGAAAACGAATGTTAGAAATTCCTTGAAATGTTAATTCTCCATGGGATATTTTAATGGGAATGGAACAGGCCATTGAAGTACTTCAAGTTGTTGATCATCATGATGATGACAACGGCAAAGGCAATGGTGACATCGATGACAATAATGATGTTTAGGTTGTCATATATAGCCCATATGTTCTTACTTAAGATTTCCCTTGAACACAGTTGGTCTGAATTATATAGTAGAAACGGTTAAGTGGACAAAATACAAATAGTGAATTGAATTATGAAAATTGAATACAAATAGCAAAAAATTCAGAAACTGAGGACCGTAAATTATGATTTTCTGTATATAGAATGCAATAAATATTGTAAGATATTCACTGACCAACTTAGTAACATATCCATTTGTTCATTGATTGACTCATGGACTCACCCATCTAGTCTTTCAGTCACTGCTAAATTAAAATTGCACTGAGGTATTATTGGCATTCAGTGAAGTCAAGAGTACTCTGCAGCTGAATGGCCAGACATTTCCAGCTCATAACTTATCAAGCTGATGATCAGCTAAAGAGAACAGTGAGCTATATTCACTATTCTATTATGTTTCTGGACATCTGTGTATACTTGTAAGCAAATTGTTCATATATTACTAAAAGTTCCACGTATTTTCTTATTGTTTAATAGTCCTGAAAGACAGCAAACATTCTCTTTGTCCTGAAATCTGTATCATGAACATTATGAAACTTTAAAACTTAAAAAATATCAAGTGTCAGTCCATTAATAACTTAAAATGTATCAACTGTATGTCCATATATTTCTCCACTTTCATATGTATTAATTTGCTTTTTTTGGTTCAGTATTTACAGTATCATAAAACAGATTCTGTGTTTCTATAGTTAATTTCTTCTAGTGTTTGATTTATTAAGCAATTTTCTATTAATAATCTCTCTCACTGATTATATTTTAGAAGTTCTGCAAGTTCTTCTCTGAATTTCTTTGACTTTCAGTGCTGTTCATCATTCCACCATTGCTCCATACTCATCTTCACTACCCCCAATAGTAGTGTGATAGCCTTGACCAGGCAGCATATTATCACAACCTCAATCTTTATGTTGGGAGCCTCATCTCTTACCCATCACTTGATAGGTTACAGAGGAAGAAAGGTTTTACATATCTTAAAGAATAATTTAAAATCCTTACCACGAAATGGTCAGAATTGAATCTCCTGAAAATTATATATATATAATGATATAAGTTAAAAGAAAGTAAATTATAATCATTAAATTTATAAAGGATTTCACTTGAGGTATTTTCATTAATTTTATTGTGATAGAACAAATATAAGGCATATATATGTGTTTTATAATAAATAGCAACAAATTCAGTTTTGTTATAAACTGTGCATTATGCACACAATTATTAGTTCTATTTTCAGCATTCATAGAAAGAATCAATAGTATGAAGTAATGTTCTGAAAACTATTCCTAAAACAAGACTATGTAACACACAAATGACTAATAAGTTATTATTATTGTGTACATATGCAATACTTATCTGAGAAATTCACATAGTTTAACTGAGCTTTGTTTCCGGACTGAAATTCACGGACAAATAAAGTGAACCACCTTCAGACAAGCTGTAAGACTGTAGAATAATTGCACTGTAATTATTCTTTGACATTATCCATTGTGGATGGTGTAGTAAGCATATTGTTATGTTAGGAATTGACATACTTCTCTTGTTAGATGATTGGTTATGATTATACTGAAAGGTGTATTATATTGCTGTTCCTTTAAGATAGTGGTGGTGAAATTCAACCTTACTCCTCTGAAAACCAACATTATGATCTAGTGATTAGCATACAGGATCAGTATTGAATAGTTTCAGGTTTGTTCCTCATCGATGTTACTACTATGTAAAAAAATTAAATATGTGTCACTATGATTAATAATATTTATGAAGTTCAGCAACCCTTTTATTTTTCAGTACAAAGAATTTCAGACAATATTTATTGAATATTGCATGTATTAGATAAAAACTACAAATTCTAATTTTCAATATAAGAGGCTGAAATTGTTTATTGAACTTGGTCAATTGTAAATTAGTCCCAGTTTATGAAAGTAGCTTGTGTTCAGCAATAATGTCTTAGCAACTATTGTTTATTAATGGGAACAAGTTCTGAGATATGGGGGAATATCCTTGTTGCTGGCATAACATGCAGCTTTCTTTTACTGCAAATTGAATAGATCCATGAAGAGAGATACTTAAAATTGTGTAGAGAATTTGATTAAATGGCCCTTCTTCAGTACTTGTGTTTGTCATGTATAGATATCACTAGCTGAACACATCAGAGACTCTAGTGCTACCAGAGATTGAGAGCTGACAAATCTGAGCCCTTGCCATTGCCTCACCCTGGTTGGGAATAGGTTGTCTCTTTTGAGTCTGCCAACAAACAGTGCAATACTCATCTTTGGAGTAATTAATCTGAAGCCAGTATTGACTTGGAGTATCTGGAATATCTTATGTGCTACACTTTATCATGATAGAACTGACAGTATTCCAGAAAAGCATTAAACTGTTCAATACAAAATTATTTTTTACCTAAAAATTGGCTTCTTATGTATTTCAGTAATATCTGATAATATCTAATGTTAAATCGCAAACATTCTGAGTTATCAAGCAGTGGAGGATTTTGTTTTTCATTGACACTGTTAAATACCTAAAAAATTCTGAACTTAAGACATGGACATTTGGAAGAGACTTGTTCCCATTCATAGCATCATAAATACAAAGAGACTTGGCTATGAATAAAATGACTAGAACAGTATATTCTAAAATGTTTTAAGAAACTTTTCAGCCATGACAAACAGTGAAGGAACTTCATCCTGGAAAATGGCAAATATATGGTAAAAGTAAAATGTAATACGATGATGATGATAATAATAACAAAGAAATTAAATAGCCCTTTGTTAAGATCCTTCATGTAACCATTGTTCAATTATAAACTGATATCAATGATCTTTATTATTACATTGTAACATTAAGCTGAGATACTTAACAGTAATATTTCACAAAGAAAAAAATACCAAGTTCTGAAGCTTCATACCACTAATGCAGTTACTGCATTAATAACTGAATATAGATTACATAACATGTTGTTCTTTCTCTCTTTTTACAAGACTGGAGAAACAGTTCTAGCAGATAATCAGTAGTTTTTGTCTTCATTTACTAACAAACACTTCTTAGAATATGCCATTTTTTGCTTACATACCACATGTTTAGGATCATCCTACATGGTACTTAATGAGTTATAAGGTATTATTTTGGGATAATGTAGCTTTGTGATTTATCTTTTTGATAGCAAATTATTTTTAACAATAGTTATCATAGTGAAACCCATAACTCAAGAAATTTAACTGTGGAATCCCAAGAAACCTCTTTCAAAACCTTGTGCTTCTAAAAAATATAGGTGGGGAATGACTGAAATAAGATATTAATGGAAGTCTGTTATTGGCATTTATGAAACTTTACACAAAATAGTATTCACCAAAGATTAACAGGTAAATTTCTAGTCTGTTAAAACATATCTTGTTTGAATCTTTTATGAAGTAACAGAAAACGCTATGGACAGTACTACTTTAGTTTCTGTTTTGGACAGTAGTTAGTGTATCAGAGGAAGTTGGTTATATAATTAATAAATACTTCTTTTTTACTATTAAGTAAGGGAAAAGAACATCCTGTTCTGTCTTCATTTGTGTCCTCTTCATACTTATGCTTTTTGTATT